ATGTACCTGATTTCGTGCGCGCATGTGGGTAAGGCGTGGCAGAAAACGTGGTAACGGACAGACAGGACAGGACAGACAGACAGGACAGACTGACAGACTGGACGACAGACAGAAACAATTACGGGAAAATACCGTAACCTCGCTGCGCATGCGCGCCGAGGGTAATCACGAGTCCCCCGTTCTCTCTCTCGTTTCTTGTTTGTCCTTTCGACCGAGGGTCCGATCAGGACCGTTATGACGTACGAGGATTCTAAAGCTGTGATTTCCAATGATTCTACTGATCACCCAACTGATTCAAGAGATTCCAGATTTCCGCGGGTTTATATGATTTCCAACGGTAACTGCTTACCGGGGCGTCGGGTACACACGAGAAAGCCACCCTTCCAGGGGGGTGTAGTACTTGGCGGTCGTGCCTGGGAAACAGACGATCGGAGCTGCTGCTCACGATTTGGCAAACCACGCGGTCGCAGCTATGAGAGGCGCGTGCCCTCACGTGCCTCATGACCCTACCCCATCACACACACACCACGCATGCGCGCCCTCATGCAGTTAGTTAACTGGGTCTAAAGGGGTTTAAACCCTATATTTCCAGTGATTTCAGAGTTTTTTCGAGGTGGGACGGCCGGCCGGAAACGAGTGACTCGCGTGTGCGCGCGCCGCAGCAGGGTAGCCTTAGTTTCTTACATTGCAGTCAACGGAGCTATCGGAGCAGAAAAGCGGCGCGCGCACGGCAACTTGATTTCCGATTTCCACTTTCACTGATTTCCCTTGTTTTCCAACTGGATTCCTGACCAATAGCAATACGAGATTTCCCCCCGTGTCGTACCCCTCGCTTTCGACCGTATGGAACACACTGCGCAATAGCAGTGGTGGTCTAGCCGACAACCCCTTCACTCAGCTGGGTGGATGGGATCTAAACTCCTTGTTTGTGTGTGTTTGTTGGTGTATGTGTGTATTTCATGTGGATTGAGTATGGTTTTCTTTTTTTTTGTTTTTGGTTTTGTTGGACACACGTCAGATTGATTAACGCGATGTTGAGCCAGCGATTCTTCCCCCCGATAATTGGCGAGCGTGGAGCGCGCCAACCATAGTCGTTCGTTGGAGCGGGAATTTTCGGTATTATTATCGTTCGTACGTCGTGTGTAAGTGCGCATGCGCGGCTTTGATACGCGCTTATTTTTATCCGAAACTATTTCCACAATTGTTACACATTTTCACACACGGTGCCTCGCGATATATGGGCCGATCGGTTAGCCAGCGGAGAAACTCTACCTCATTCGACGGCATGCACGGGAACCTTCGGTGACTGACCGAGGATGTTACCTCTTCCCCAATCTTCATGGTTCCAAGGTGCAACTGCAAATACGCTTAGGTTGCTCGTGCCACATTATGGCGCATGCAGCTGCCTGGTGCGACCACGACTACCGAGCTGGAAAGCGTTATACGGTAAGTAACCGTTCTGCTCACCTGCTTCATCCAATGTACAAATACGCCATGTAACGGCGACAGGTAGATTTGTCGTGGCTTCACGAATGGAAAAAACTGTGCGCTGACGGCACGTTATTGCAAGCCCGAACAGCGCGGGCCAAATCCCAAGTTGGGTCGCTACCGCTCGCCAACAATGTAACATCCACTAGTTATAGCTAGAAAAGCCCGCGTGAATGATATTAGTCCGGGGCCCAGACCTTCCAACATATATGCGCACGCGAAACGCTCACTCTCTCGCGCAATGAGCGCGTGCGCATAAGTATAGGGACTGGGCCAAAGACTCGATGAATGAAAGAGCGGTGGTGGAAACCCACCCGTTACTGCGGAAGAGTAAAGCTTCGCGCACTCAGCGGTAAGCGTGATCTCCCCAATACGTAACGCCGCATTACAACGGAGAGTTGTTTAATTAGCTAGCACACGATTCAATGGAAACCTCGTTCTTGCCAGATGTTTAGTTGGTGCTCTGTTGCTTACTTTATCTTGTGTGCTCAAGGTGCTATTCTAATAATCTGATCAAAATTTATTGTCTTTTTCTTTCCAGAGATTCTCCATCGCTCCCGAGAGTACAACGTCTTTCTACAAATCAGCAGTTTTTAAATGTGAGAAAAAGAGGTGGTATAACTTCTTGGGAGTGTCAATGGAACACAACGAGAAATCCTTTTACCTGAAATACGTAGTTAGTGACTGGTTGTTTCAGAAAGAAATACCACTCCTGAAAGGTACTGCAGGCACACTCGGGGACCCATTTCCGCCAGAGCCCAGTACAAGGACTAGAGTTCAGTGTCTGTCAGGGTATTTGGTGGCCCCTTAGTAGAGAGTGGACAATGCCACATTGGACCATTAAAGGTATTGGAGTTATTAAATTATATAAGTTAGGAAACTGCTTACCATGATATCCAGGTCAACTGTCAGCAGAGCTGGTCTGGAGATTCACCAGCAATGCCAGCTCAGTGACCATCCGTGGAGTGCTCCATTATCTCTGGATTGTGACTGTTGTTGATCCTGCATATCTGGTACTCTGTCCTCATCTACAATGTGTCAGAGAGAAACAAACCAAACGCATTCCTCTGTATGACTGTATAAATATCACTGAGACCACACTGACAACCATCACTCATGAATTACCTAAGTCCTTGTCATGTGTTACAACTCTATGCCATCCCTCTGAATGGGATGGCCAGGGAGAGAGAGTGCCAATGTCACAAGTGCGGTGGTAGTTCGAATAGCAAGCAAGTATGCATGATGGAAGCATAGCTACAATTTTGCAGGAAAGTCCTTTCTAACCAGGACGGGATATAAAGCTGCTTGGGATGTTGCGTTCAATTTCATGCTGTGTAAGTTCCTGTCAAAAGAGGACAGCTACAGCTTAATGACAACATGTATTTCTGTTGATATAGGTAGCATTTTTTTTTTCTTCAGGGGTATTCTCAAAGTGGATATTAAAGGATCAAATGAGAAGTCAAGAAATTGTCAGTACACGCTATCTGCAAAACAACGCTTTATTCTATTTTCTTTGAAGGGAACACTACGGCTGGGAATCATGAATGTATCTCATGACACCTTCAGTAAGAAAGACACATTATCAAGCGCCACTAAACTGCTCCTATTAAACAGAACTATGATTACAGAGTCTGTCAGTTGGAAAGAGGAAGGAGGAGGAGGCGTGTTAGTGAGGTGAGGGGGTTCACGAGTGGGTCACGAGCTACCAGGATGTATGGTCGGTCCTCCAGGGACCTCCCACCTCTCCTGAAATCTTCAGAGCTCTAATGAGGACCGAGTTCAGGACACTGTCTCCACCAATGTACCTGTCCCTCCCTCCACTTACACTGGTTGTATGCGATATGACCCGAGGAGAATGGGACTAACCAACACCATGCATGCTGTGGTGCTAGAGTCTCAGCTAACTACCAGCAAAGGGCTTTTACAATACTGCGTGTCAAATAATTTACCAATGCGTCCTGATTTTCAAAGGTGCTACATTGGTTTTAAAAAGAATCTCAACTATGAAGATGCCACTTATAAACATTTCCATTGGATCAACTGTAGCTATAACTGTGATTCTCAGAGTCTATCATGAGGGCCCTCATGGTCTGGTCTACAGAGAGTATGGCAATCCTTCTGTCAGTGGTGGAGTTGTCTCAACTCTTGATTTCCCTGTCTCTATCTGTGGAAACAACCCTGAGAATTATACCTTTGGCACTGTTTGGGAAAGAATGGTTTTTGACAACAGTTTGGATGAAGAGCCAACCTGGGTATACTAAATTCAGGACTATGGGTAAAGAACAGCGAACCTCTTTCACACAACAGTGAACGTCATGCAAACTGTTTTTACATACTCAAGACCAATTGTGAAACTATAGTGTCACATTTCATTGAGTACAGGATAAAAACGGACAGAGGAAAGAAGAAGGAAATCACAATTCCCAAGGACCTGTTGTTGCCAGCTATCCATTGGGGGGTTGTTTACAGTGTCAAGCTAAATCCACCTGGTTTATCCTCCTCCAGGCCAGTAGTGGTGGTGTATGTGCTTCTAGTATGTGCTCGCAGTGTTGGTCCCGGTGAGGTGATGGTCAGATGGTATATAACCGCAGCAGCAAGTCCACACCATGCATCTGATGCGGTAAAGAGGATATCAATCAAGCAAGATCTAGATTTATTGACATACAAATATTTTCCAGCACACTTCTAGACAGTTTTGTGTTATGATTTATGATTGGTGGTCCTGTCTCTGCACAGGTCCTCCAGACCAGAAATGTGGTGTATTTATGCTGAGGGTAGTTCTTCCTACACCACCACCGCCATCCTCTGTCATTCAACTGAGGTTACCAACACAGCCTATGTCACTATATACCACATACCAACCGACTCAGAATGTGGCCTATGCTGTGCATTCATTGTCATAACGTGTGTTATTTCCATGTGTGTTTTGGTATCATATCATTAAATTTATACATGTATTGAGAAGGGAATTTATAGCACTGAGTAAGCAGTTACACAAATTTTATTATTAATGAACCGTGTCATGTAGTATGCATTGTTGCTGACACTGTGCACATAGCTACTAGACTGGGTTATAATTTTATTGCGCTCTGTATATGACATAGATGGCCCGCAGTTTTCACACACTGTAGTGCAATAATGTAGTTACAATGCACATGCTGCAATCAAGTATAACATTTCCACACAGGTGTATGTATGTTGAGGTCTGCATTTGCAGACATCAACATACATATTAGTGTATGCTGTACTGTTTCTATAGGCTATGTCAACACTCAGGTTACGACAATACACCCCACTCCATCTGCTTGGCAATGTGGCTTGCCATTCCTCTAATGGCACTACTAGTATCCAGGAACAACTTTCTAGCCTCCACTAGCTAGCTATAAATTAACAACTAAGACGGCAAATTCTCGTGCCTTCGTTCGTGGGTTCTGCAGCCCGCGTGTTCGGATGAATGACGCAATAGAAACCTCGGCTTACTATAATTATATTGCGTCATTCCAGCCTCCCACGCGGGCTTTAGAACCGCCAAGACACCCGAATCTGCCGTCTTACCTATACGAAGAGAACAGAGCTGGACGTCCGCCACAGAGAGTTGTTCACCCAGCCAGGTTGTATGTACTTAATGGCCAGGGCTAGTAAGGGTGATCTTGTACGGGCGGCGCTGACACCCGGTGTTGTCTTTTCTGGCTAGTCTCGGTACTAGCCCCTCTCACAAGGACTGAGGAGTGTGAGGGACTGATGCTAGCAATGAATGGCAGCCTGCTGTGAGCTGCTGTCATAAGACCAGCAGTACACTGTATATACCCAACAGCATTAGAAGGTTTTTGTGGCCCAGCAGGAATACCTTTGTTAGGCAAAGATGTACTACAGTATTAGGGCTAGGGTTTTGGTATGAGCTAAAGTTTTCAATGCAGAGAGGAAAGGTTGGTAGGAGTGGCTCTCGAAACCGGCTACTATATTATTACCTGTGTGCATGTGTGAGAGAGAGTGTCAAATATCGTCATAGTTGCGACTATTAGTGTGTCAGTATTCTGACTGTATGGAGATACTTCCACCTAGCCTGGTGTCCAGACCCCTCCTTTGCTTTAACCTGAGAACGCATAATGACCAAATACAATTCCTCTACAGCCTCAAGAGCCAGTGATTGCAGTGGATGATCAAGTCATGGCTCCAAGTAGGTTAACTTTCAACTTGTAATTGCAGTGAGTTTTACAGTACTTGGTCTGTGTGTGCATGTGTGTTTGTCTCTCTGGTGCCACTAATTAACCCTCAGTGCGCATGTGCAGCGAGGGTTACTGCAGTTGTCGTGTGTGTCTGTCTGTCCGTCTGTCCGTTCCATGACATCACACTTCACGAGCCATCAATCACTCCACAAACAATACCACGTATTCAGCGTAGAAATATATGTAAGATTTTATCTGAAACTGCTGCGTTCGAGAGTTATGGCGTGAAACACGAGCGAAAAAGCCAATATGCTAATTATAACAGGCTTACCTCGAGCGGGTCCGCTTGCTATGTGTATCTTGAAGGCACAAAAAGTCACAACAAAGGGACTCCCGCATGCTATCCACTACTGTAGCTAGCCCGTGTCAGACTCTCCGCGAGCTACTAGCGGGAGACCACGAGTAAACGCATACTAATAGCCCTTCCCATCAAATTAGCGGTACCGCGCATGCGCAGTTCGCTGAGGGTTTGCACTTCAGTGCTTTTTCATTAATTCTCGCACTTGAAGAAGAAGAAACAATTTACACAACTACAGTTGGCTCACTTACCTTGTGAAATTGCTTAACTAGTCATGTAGTAGTATTACTTATTCCTTGTCACATGTTTTCATATTCATATGCTCTATGTATTTTGTGCTAGCTTGTCAGAATTGTACTGTATTCATGTGTTGTTGTTGGGGGGGGCCTTTGATTGTATGGTCACTAGTGGTTCAAGATCACACTATGTTGGATGTTCTTGTGTTAACTTACAGGTGGAGGTGAAATTCTGGTGCTGCTTCTACTAGTTCCAACACACTGTTTTGCACAAGGTAATTTTTAATCCCCCATAATTGTTTTGCTATCGCCTAGCAACCTAATCTAATTGGCAGCTATGTAAGTGTGTACCAATGGTGACCACAGGACAAAATTTGGGTCATTAACATAATAAATCTGCATGATAATAAACCATGCCTGTACGAACTCGTATATACTCGGCGATGTCACATATGCATAATTATATATATATACACTCCAACTGTTTTTGTTTCATTCTTTCCAGAGATTCTCCATGCTCCCGAGAGTACAACTGTCTTTCTAAACCAACTAGCAGTTTTTACATGTGAGACAAGAGGTGGTATAACTTCGTGGAGACTCAATGGAACACAGCGAGAAATCCTTCTACTTGACATACGTAGTGACCTGGTTATCTCAGAAAAGAGCACTACTTCTGAAGGCACTGCAGTGCACAATCTGACCATCCTAGCCAGAGCCCAGTACAATGGAACTAGAGTTCAGTGTCTGTCTGTGATAATTGGTGGCCCCTTAGTGGAGAGTGACAATGTCACATTGACCATTCAAGGTATTAGTTCTTTAAACCTCCAACTGTTTTCTAACCCTCTACCTGTATTCAGTTTCTGTGCGTCTGTTTGTTAATCCTCATTGCGTAGGCATAGCATGGGTTACAGTACTTGTATGTATTTGTTATCGATATTCTGCACTACAGTTTACGAGGTAGTCATTAATCCTCGGCACGCATGCGCAGCGAGGGTTACAGTAGTTGGTTTGTCGCTGTACTGTCTTGTCTTGTGTGTGTGTGGTGTGTGTGTCGACGCTTATTCTGGAACTACAGGTTACGATGGCGGCCCATTTAGCATTACACTCGGCTTCGTACTACCACGAGCTGAAAAAAGGGCGATTTTCCTGAACGACTGCGTCGAGAGATATGCGTGAACACAATCAAAAAAGCCAATATGCATAATCGCGCTGGCTTACCTCGAACTGATCGGCCTACTCCGCGTACCTTGGAGGCACAAGATGTTGCAACAGAGGGCGTGTATCAACTCCCGCATGCAATCTACTAGTGTAGGTAGCCCGTGTCAAACTCTCCGCGAGCTACACCACGAGTAACTCCATAGCCTAGCCCCCAGCCCATCAATTAGCGATACTGCGCATGCGTAGTGCGCCGAGGGTTTGCACTTTAGTGCTTTTCATTGACTAATATTTTTTTCGTGCGCACACATGCAACCGAACGTACTAGTAAAATACTTGTTCTCGAAATATGATTGTATTCTACTCTCTTTTGAAAATGCATATAAATTGCATCCAGGTCCACTGTCAGCAGTAGGTGACTTGAAATTTGATGCTAAAAATGCCAGTTCAGCGACCATCTCGTGGAGTGCTCCATTCTCTCTGGATGTGACTGGTGTTGATCCTGATATCTGGTACTCTGTCCTCATCTACAATGTGACAGATGAGAACACCCAAACAGCCATCCTCTGTACTGACTGTATCAATATACACTAGACACACTACACCTTCACTCCTGACTACCTCAGTCCTTGTCATGTGTACAACTTCTCTGTCATCCCTCTGAATGGAGCTGGCCAGGGAGAGAGGAGTCCCAACATTACTGGATATGTTTTAAACGGTAGGTATACAAGTAAATAAACAATCCTGCGGATTAAAAAGAGAGTGCATATAGGGATCGTATAAAAAGAAAGGGAGACAAGATAGGGATGGTGTTTGTGGAAGCACAGAGATGCTAGCAAGGATTTAGGACTCCCACAGGTCATTACACACAGCCCTATAGTCGTCGTACGTGGGACGTACCTAGCATCATAGATGTATGGGGCTATGATAGGGAAAGTTTTCAATCTTCTTCGTAGGGTGGGAGTGGGAGTGATGAGAGAGTCTGTAGAATATTGCTATAGGTAATGAAGTACTTACAAATTACCTTTGATAGATTTGTCATGCTACATTTCCATGGAGTGGGCATTTAGGTGGAAGTGTAATCAGCTGACCATAACATTGGATATACATGTATATACATGGAAACATGGAAAATTTGTGTAACGCAAGAAAACAAAATTCAAGTATGCAAGGTTGGCTGATATATTCACGAGGAAGTAGTAAAGCACCGATACAACGATATAGGGCTGTTGTAATGACCTGTGGGAGTCTTAACTCCTTGCTAGCATCTCTGAGATGCTATATACTCGCGTCACGTGGCCACAGCGCAACCTGAAGTTTCAGTACCTGAAGTTTTTTTGAACAATATGTAGTCGTCATATTAACATGTAGTTGTCGTGGAAATGATGTAATACGCATGCGTACCAAGTTTCATCTCCATGCGTGCTATATACCTTTAGCGAGTTGTAGAAGTGAAGATTTAAAGTAAAGTGCCTGAGGCTATTTGTTGTTGCTACAATGTGGTTGTCATGGAAATGATGTTACACGATTACGTACCTAGTTTCATCTCTATGTGTGGTACCGCTAGCGAGTTTGAGGAGTGAAGAAGTAAGTAAAGTGCCTGAGGCTATTTGTTGTTGTTTATACAATGTGGTTGTCATGGAAATGCATGCGTACCAAGTTTCATCTCCATGTGTGGTACCGTTAGCGAGTTTGAGGAGTGAAGAAGTAAGTAAAGTGCCTGAGGCTATTTGTTGTTGTTTATACAATGTGGTTGTCATGGAAATGCATGCGTACCAAGTTTCATCTCCATGTGTGGTACCGTTAGCGAGTTTGAGGAGTGAAGAAGTAAATTTAAAGTAAAGTGCCTGAGGCTACTTTGTGTTGTGGTTGTCATGGAAACAGTTTAATACGTATGTGTATCAAGTTTCACCTCCATACATGCTACAGTTAGCAAGTTTGAGGAGTGAAGAAGTAATTATAAAGATAATCGTCTGAGGTTTCTTCAAACAGTATGCGGTCGTCATGGAAACATGTAGTTGTCATGGAAATGATATAATAGGCATACGTACCAAGTTTCATCTCTATGCGTCCTACCATTAAGGAGTTTGAGACGTGAAGAAGTAAATTTAAAGAAAAGTGCCTGAGGCTATTTGTTGTTGTTTATAAATATGTATTGTGTTTTTGATGTTGGCTATTGAATACATTATGTATACAGTGTTTCGTTCACATAACTCTTACAATTAATGTGAATTACACTATGTCCATTATAATGTATTGCCTGGGGCACATTTTTAGTTGTTTACAGTAAACAACATTGTTTAAAAACAAAAAAGTATGACGTTGCACATGTGGTTATCGACACGCACATTCCTACAAAATTTCATGGCTTTCGGTTTTTTAGTTACGCTGGTCGAAGAAGAAGAAGAAGAAGGAGCATTGTTTTTCAGTAGTGTACCTGCGTTTTTGAGGGAACTTATATTTCTGCATACCCGCACTTTTGCACATCCTATTCTCTCAAATAAATAGCACACAACAGAATGTTCATCAGTATTGATAGCTGGTATATAGCAACATCACATGTGGGTGTGTGCAAATGCCCATACTAGTACTTCACCTGTTTCATCACTTTCCATGCTTGGCTGGATACTTTGATATGCCATGTTTGCAAAAATAGCACAGAATTTCACCAGTACATGTGCAGACCGAGTGCTGATGTGACTTGTGGCATAATTATACTGCATATCTGCTGCCATTCCCGCATGAATAGACAACTAACTCTGTAACAATTCTGTTCTCTTTCTAGTGTCAGCACTTATAAAGACTCATATCCGAGCTATCTCTAGGAACGAGACCAATGTTACATTTACGGTCAGTAGTAAGTACCATACACAATACTAATGTTTCAATGTCTGTTGTTTTTGTGATAGAGTAATCCCACCAGTGAACTTTGTAGTAGCTGGAGGGTCACTCCTGATGTAGTGGATGATCGTGTCATTGAAGAGCCACCATCACCAGAAGGACCAGATGTCACCTACCAACTCCTTGCTGACAATAGATATTCATTCCTGGTGTCCCTTCCTAATGCCACTGATGAAGTAGCCCACCCGCGGATCAATTTCAGTAATATTTTGTGTTGTGACAAACAGCAGTAGGTAGATGTTAATGCCTTACTAACCCTTAAGTGGAGATGTCAGAATGGGTGTGTCTTTGTGCCCAATATATACTACATGTACACATATAGTAGGTCCACAGTTTTCTGTATATTCACATGAAACACTCGTATGCTGCTTACATTTGTGTGGTTATTGAACACTCCTTGTTATGCATGAAAAATCCGTATGCATACCCAATTATAATCAATCATGCTGCTGTGTTCTATTGTGCCAAGGGCAATTATTGGATATAATTACGTGTTTACAGCTACATATGATGTCCAGAGTGCTGCCGCTGACACCACCAAGGGTACCGATAATGGGTTCACTTTTACTGGAGAGTTCATTGAGAGCACAACAGCTCAGGGATGTTTCATAGTTTTAGAATCTGAATATGGAAATCCTGATGTATTCAGAGCCCTACTACTGCCAGATGACTCCAGCACTTATGTACCGCAGAGTATTATGATAACATTTTCTCTTCACCGTATCATGTGTTTGTCTATGACCTGAGGAGATGGACTGACTAGCAGCATCCTGCTGTGAACAGAGCACTACTGTCACTGTTATGGGCACAGTGAGGTGTCTGCTGTATTAGTGGTACATTTGCCTTTTATCAATTCTATATGCAGGTCCGCATCGCTGATGCCAGAATCTCAATTTCTAACAATGGCAGTGGTTGACTGGACATGAAACAGCACAGTGTGAATTGAGTGCATTGTAAGTTCAAAGACTGTAATAGAGAGAGCCTCATGTGTCCGGGTCTATCGAGAGTATGGTAACAAGACACTTCTAGTGGTGGAGGAATATCCCCTCAGAACCATACGTCTTCCCGGTGACTCTGACTGTTGGTGCCGATCATTGGAGCAAATCCACATTTGCTAGCATTTGGAAAGAATGGTTCCAGTCGATGAAGACCACTTCTTGCAATAAGAGTGGCTGTACTGAGGACACAACTGAGATCACTACTATACTGTACATCAACATCCGCTGGTATGTCCAAGTCGCCCTTGGCTTATATGGTAAGTAACGCCTCACCACCCTGCGCCGTGCATGCACAGTGGGGGTTACAGTAATTGGATTGCCTGCCTGGCTGCCAGTTAAACCGGTACAGTGGGCCCCGGTTAATATCATACCCACACGGGTGCATCCAAAAATTATGATAATATGCGGGATATTCTACAATGCGGGCGCATATACCAATGTATACTGTGACCCAGATTGCGCACAATACAGTTTGTTTAGCTAAGCTAATCAACCTAGGCTAGCCTAGCGATTTACATAAGCTAATGAAGCCAGGTGGATAGAATGGTAGGAGTTACAAAACTCCAGCGCAATGTTGTAGTATGCCTAATTCGGCATGAAAAATATGACAAAAAACCAAAATTGCTCAGTTTTTCTATGGTAATAGGTGGGATATGACATCCGTATTCTATAAAAAGCATAGGAAATGGTTTTGTATTTCAGGTTTGTATGGTAATAAACGGTTAAAGGGTATGATTATTAAGTGGGACCCACTGTACTTCAACTGCTACACATCAACGCCATGTGCCCGCATTCCTTGCGCCGAGGGTCTGCACTTTATTGCTATTTTCATTCTGTTGGTTCTTGTTATCTTTGCAGTACACATCTGTACACAGGATAAATGTGTACCTACAGAGATAATGTTTTCCTGTTTTATAGATGGAAGAGTATCAGCAATTGCTATTAGAGTGTCAGCTGTGTCATCTTTCATCATTATTATTGCCATTGGTGCTGTAGTTGTGCTGATTTGGTGGAAGAAGGTAAATTGTGTCACTAATTTTTTCCATCAGAAATGTTCATATCTCTTATTGCAGTCACACAAAGGTGGTTACAGCTTCTCTGGTGTAGTTCACGGTTGCTTTTGTTGTTCTTCCCCGAGTGAAACTAACGACCTTGAGTTATGCAGTAATGCTAGTGTAAGGAGCGGTTCTCGACTGATATCAGATGATGGTGGCGCCAAACAGAAAAAGGATGGACATGCTGAAGGAGAAGCCAAACTTGACCAAAGACAGGACAGTGGCATTAGTGTGAGGAATCCTCTGGAAGGAGAAGCCAAACCCCCTCGCAGTCTAAGTAGCTCGCTGGACAGTGGTATCAATTTTAGCACCCCTCCAGTGATGTCCAAACAAAAAGGGATGTACACCGATGTGAAACCCTCAACATCAGGAGTGCAACCCCCTATCCCAGAGGACACCAGAGTCCAGTACCAGGAGATTGACATCAGAACTACTCATGTCAGCTGATGATCACATGATAGTCACATGACTCATGTTATGATCCTCTCTTTCCTCAGAAAATGGCACTTTCTCCCTATGCTGAGCTGGGACCTATTCCTACCAAAAGGCCAAAACCCCCCAAGATCGAAACCAAGACACAGGGCCCCTATGTTGATGTCCTACCTCACGCCACTACTCCTGTGACTGGCAATGACAACAGAGGTTAGTAGTGATAGTACCATGTAGGTAATGTGTTCTACTGTATTTATTCACAACCTGAATGCAGACAAGGCAACACCCAAAGGTTGAAAGGCTGCAATGCCTCGTTACTTATTACATGTCTCCTCTTCCCCCAGGACCCCCCACAGTGGAGTCAGTGATGTCACTGTTGTGGGGTGTGAGACCTCGTTGGAAGGAGATAGCAGAGGGTCTGGAGTTTGATGAGGATCGGATTGATGAGATAGACACCAACGACACTGATGAGGGCCGTCTGCACCACTGTGTGGAGATGTGGGTTTTCAAACTACAGCCATCCTGGGAGAAACTATCTCATGTACTGAAGGAACTGGGGGAAGTGGAACTGGCGCGTCAGGCCTGGAGTGAAGGTGTGGCAAAGTGTTTCTTGATTGTGATGATAGACAATGAATGATTTGTAGAGCACATCCAACAGTCATCAAGAAAGCTCAGTGATGCAACAAGTGGAATAGGAACAGGTTTTAGTCAACACTTTTCATAAAATTAACATTACACTTTACACTGTATGCCCTCCATCCAGGGTGTGATGTCTCCCCTGCACTGCCTCGGTTTGGTGACGGAGACAGTGGAGGTGGGGAGGGTGTGACTGGGGGTGAGGGTGAGGTGGACCCACAGCGTCAAACAACGTTCCCCAAGGGAGACAAGGTACGTTGTGAGAGCCCTCAGAGTGGTGCAGTCTATTACAACACACACCATTCAGGCCAGTTACAACTTCACTCTTCAGGGGAAGAACCCCCTCTTCAATTTCTACTGACTCCAGTAGAGCACAGTTCTGGAGAACAGATGTGCAACTCAGGTTAGGACATTATCTGCATTCTCCTGTTTAGCACCTATTCTTCCTGGTCACACACTTCCCCAATGCTCCACTGTTTGATGGTAATAGGTGTTGCTGAACCATTGGATGGTGATAACATGATTAATAGTTAGTTAGCTACTTCCAGCACCAACAGTTCAATCAACAGCAGTGACCCAGTTCCTCATGATCTCATAACTGTTTATTAGTTTGCCATAACTCTCCCACTCTCCCACCTGTGCTAACTCTCTCCTATCTGTGCGAATATATCCACTCAGATGATGCTGGGTTTGATGAGAGCGTAGTAGTCGAATCAGGGAGGAAAGACTGGCATCCCGAGTTTGTCTTCCCTCAGACCCTAGGTCCCAGTTATGACTCAAGTACCAGGGTTTGTTACATAATCTGTGTGTGGAACTAAAACAAACTCATGTTCTGTTCCAGGCTGAAGAAAGGGGCAGTTACGAAGGTTAGTAGCTGTTTACAACATTTTGAGCTATTACTTTAATTTGCCACTTTCATTCCCAGGGGGTGTTGAAGTGGACCAAAAACCACACGTGGAGAATTTTTATCAAACAACCACGAGTATTGGTACAGCCAATATAGAGGCAGAGGATGTTGTTGTCAACGAGAACATCTGTGACGGAACTACAGTTGAATGCACAGAGTCCTCAAGCACCAAAGCTAATAATGGTATTAATAACTATTTTTATCATGTGAGTTTCATTTACAGTGTTAATTTTAGCTGTGATGGTGACGGGACAAATGCAGGAGAGACATCGCTGGCCAGTTGCAGATCTCCCTAACATACAGCCGCAACCTGCTGGACTGTCCAAACGACAACCAAAGCATACACCGCCCTTGCCCAAGTTTAGGGCACAGACTCTCCAAGAAAGCCACCCCCGATATCCAACACACAAGAACAGCAGTAACAGCCACGCCGTGGATCTTACTCTAACCTTGCAATGGATGGACCTGAGATTGGGCCTGGGATTCGGTTTTGAAGAACACCCCACTTTCGAGAGCTCTGCATGGACCCAACCCAGTTGATCAGCTGCTGTCGTGCTCTGTTGTATCGTCATAATGTGCTATTGTCTGCAATACGGGATTGACTGCATGTTATTCTACTGTATGTAACTAAACTGTAGTGGAAGATGCTGTATGCATTCATCCATTTGTAGTGTAGCATTATTTTTACTGAAGTACGTCACAGCAATGTCAGCACATGCCGTATTTAGACTAGTAAACGAAAACAACTTTCATCATAAACAGAGTGTATGTAAAATAAGAAGTTCCTATTGTGTATGTAATCGGTCAGTGTGAAAGAATTTGGTGATAGTGTGGTATGACTGGTTGTACTTGAGAAACACCTCTTCTTCTCCGTCTCCTTGGTCGAGTGGCCCACTCCCTGGTCCAGGAGTGGAGCCACTGGAGGAGGAGAGCGGGTACCTCCTGATGTGTCGTGGAGGCAGAGAGACGCTCCCCTCACTCCTCCTCCCTCCTTCTCTCTGCCCAGGTCTGGGTGGGAGGAGGGAGGGAGGGGAGGGGGCGGGGTCCCAGGGAATGGGAGGTGCCCTGGTCTTACGTCCACTGGAACTAGTGCTGCCTTCAGCTAAAGGTGGGGTGGGCGGAGCCGGTTTTCCAGTTTTGGGGGAGGAGGGAGTGGGTTTGGGTGGCCTGGGAGGTGGACTCAGTTCCTCTCCATTGGCTCTGGTGTTCTGGCTCAGTGAGTCTTCCAGGAATGAGGGGGAGTCCCCAGTTTGAGTTACCGCTGTTTCTCCTGGTGACTGAGTTGCTTCTTGGTTGAGGGGCTGCCCCAAGAGCGACTGTAGAATAATCTCCTGTTTGTTGGAGCTGGTGTTTTCCGGCGGTGTGACTAAAGGCAGTTGTGGTGGGCCTTTCATGAGGATGCAGTAGCTGGAACCAGTCGCAGTGTCGTGGTCAGAGTCACTGGTCTCGGGTTTTGGAGGTATAGGAGGAGGGAGTGGGCTCGTAGATCGGGAAATAAATTTGGGAGAAGTGGACAATTGTTGATGAGAAGGAGGGGAGAGTTGTGAATGCAGGGGAGAGGTGTGGCTTGTGTGGTGAGGTAGGGAGGTTTGGGAAACCTGGGTTTTCTGAAGACGGGGAGAGGTGGAGGGTTGAGAGTGGGAAGGAGAAAGGTGTGATTGTGGGGAGGAGAGAGGGTGGGAGACCGAGTGAAGGTGTGGGGTGGAGGAGGAGTGAGGATAATGGGGAGGGCTAGAAGGGTGCAGTCCAGCCAGAGAAGTAGTCGGTTGCGATGACGAGAGGAACCAAGGACTGGTGGAAGGAGGAGAAGAGCTGTGTTCAAATGGTGGAGTGTTCAGTTGAGAAGGAGAAAGAGGTAGCTGTGATAGTGGAACAGTGCTCTCTGCAGAAAGTGTCCATTGCGGATCAGTGGAACAACTGTCGCTGGTAACAATATGCAACATCTCGTCTGTCCTTGGAGGTAAGTCAGGAGTACACGACAGACTTCGATCGACCACACACCCTGTCTCTTCCCTCTCATAGAGCTCTGCCAGCTCTCCTGGGGTAATGTGACCCGTCGAGTGTGATGAAAGCCGAGTTAGAAGTCTGGAGAGGTGAGGTGTGGAGAAAACCACTTGACGGTGGTGGAGCAGAACCAGGCAGAGGAGATGTTAGTTCCCTCTGTCTCATAGTCAGCAATCTCACATCATCTTCATTGTTAACACCAGAGCCTGCAGCAGATGTTGCCACACTCAGTGGCCCACTCTGCCCTGGAGTGATAAGAGAGCAGTCACCACAGTTGGCGGGGAGTTTTCTTTGCAGACCACCAGTTGTACTACCACCAGTGGGGGGAATTTACACAGGCTGCTGTTGAGTAGCTTTTCCACTAAATATTTACACAACTTTGTAGTACTCATTGTATATAATACCTTCATTCACATGCAATATACTACATGTGGAACCACATTGTACTTACTGTGTCTCCTTTTGCAGCAGTAGATACATGCAACACTGAGTACTGTGACCGTAACTGACAATAAGACCACGCCCCCTACTCCACCCACCACCACTCCGAACAGTGGAACATCGGGGTTGCTGTTGTTGCCTGCAGGAAAGAGAGATAGAGTTTTGAAAACATCCGTCAAATGCTTTCAAAACAACAAGCATGTTGAAAAGGAAAAATAACACACTTCATTTTATGGGATTCTGCAATGCACTGTGTCTTACGGAGACAAACATGCTACTCCAGGAGTTAGACTATCAAAACGAATAGTCATACCAGGAGGACGGTCCAAGGACTCCCTCCCACGTATAGTATTGAATAGCTACATGCTTAGCTAAATCCCCTCTCGACAGCGAACGACGCGAGGTTTTGTAAACGATGAAAAACATGTGTACGTCTTTCGCGTTTGGACACTGTCACGCAGCTAGCTGGGTTATCATGCACACAAATCCATGCCGGCCTGGCGAACTCTTATTGACAGCTAACTGTAGAGCATACGTATGAATGCCTTAGAGAAGTATCGAACAAGAAGTATATTATCATAATAAAGTTTGTCGATACCTTCACCGCTCTGCAAATTGTCTCCGCTCCCTGCCATTTCTCTTTCTTCTGCCAAACAACACTGACTGAACTGGGTCACGCATGCGCGGCGGCCAGAACTACAACGCATGCGCTTACGCTTCCGCAGTGCATGTGGCGCCAGAAATCTGATCCCCGGCGCTGGTTTAGAGAAACTGATGTGAATAAGTGTTTATGTTTCGAACTTTAGCCTCCTATAGTTATATATACCTCACTTCACATAATTATCGCTGAGATGAGAGCTGCTTTTCTCAGAAGCTGTTGACTCATAAATCTCCTTTCCCAACGAGTAAAATTTTCGTATCAAAGTGTATGATTGTAATACAACTGGTTTGGGGCATCAACAAACTTGTTTTTGTTTTGTAAGATCAAAGCCATATATCTCCCCAGCGGCTGTATACGTATCTGAGCCTAAGGAGATAAAAAGGGAGACTGGGTTGGCTGTCATGGGAATAGCTAGTAGCTATGGCTGATCTTAGATTCCTCCTCGTTGCCACATTTGCAGTCAGTGTCGTTCACACTGAGGCAGGACAGAACACGTCATTGTGTGAGTGTCAGTCCAGTGCTACAAAACAACTTCAAATAGTTTTGTACAGATTTCAGGAAAACTCCACAGTCAGTTGATGTGCTGGTTGGCACTTCAGTGACATTCGAGTGTCAGGCCGGGTGGGCAGCTGAGCGAGTGAGATGGCAAGTCAACGGCAGTGTCTGGGACATTGGAGATCCTCCGAGCTACGACCTGCTGATCTCTCCCGATGAAACATGGAACTCCTCCGTCTACTCACGGACACTGAAAGCTGAGAGACGGTACAATAACACTGGGATTCAGTGTGTCCTTACTCTGACACCAGGAGGACAAAAGATCTGCAGCAACATGGCACTTTTAGTTGTCAGAGGTTAGGAACGACTAAACCTATATTCTTCATTGCATACTTTCAGTTGTCATAGGTTAGTAATGTGGCTAGCAGCAACTACTGAAGGGTAGAGATTACACATTATTTTCTTGATTGCAGACTTTTTGCAAGTGCCAATATCTATTAACGCAACACTCGGCTCAAAAGTGAAATTCCACTGCATTCCCTACTACTATTCCTACCACAACGTCTCGTGGTACATCAATGTAACGGATCTCAGTCAGCTAAAATCTACAGACATCTCACTGGTGTCTGAAACCACTGTACAGATCACCGCTTGGCAAAAGTTTAACAATACATTAGTTCATTGTAGGATACGTGATACCTCCATCACCAGCCCTACAGCACTTTTGCTGATTCAAGGTAAACAGACAGACACACATTTTCCCTGTACTATAATGACCCTTTGTGTAACTGCAGGAGAGCTGGGTGCAGTGGGAGAGCTTCATGTGTCTGCCTACGGTCCAGACTCTCTCCTCATCTCCTGGACCGCTCCCTTCTCCCTCAACATCACCGAGTCCCGTCCTGATCTCTGGTTCTCTCTCTCCATCCTCACACCAGCTGGTGGCTCTCTCCCCTGTCCAGACTGCCACCACATCACTACTGATACCTTCTACAACCTCTCTCTCACTGGTCTCTATCGGGGAATGCATGAGATCAGTGTAGTGTCTGTCAATGCATATGGTGTCTCTACCAAGTCTGCAATAATGCCACTGTATGTGAGAGTGGCTGAGTGCACACAAGAAGAAGAACTCTGCAGTGTGCATCCCAACACAACACAGCTACACACAGGTGATCGTGAGTGTTACATATGAGCACACATTAAAGGCATTATACACTACAAAAAAGTAAAAGTGTTCGTAATGCATACAGTATCTGATCAAAGTCACATTGCAGAAACTCCCTGCCCTGCTGTCTCGCTCTCAGGTTACCATGACATACCGATGTATTGTGAGGTACTAATTTTTAAAGGAATGTTCTAGGTATTGGACTGGGAGTTGGATTGGGTGTCATACTAGCTGCATTACTGATGAGCACTGTGGTCGTAACATGCTGTAGTGTATCGGCCCTAAGGACCCGCCTTTGTAAGTTAATCAACGACACAGTGGACAAATGAACATGCTGGTGTGTATATATGTAGGTCGCAGGAGAAGTGAGTTGAGGAGGGACACACTTCAACAGAATCCAGCCTATGAGGCCTGCGCCCCTACACCATGTCCTCCTCCTGACCAGCAGGGAGCGGCGTACTGTACTGCCTCACCACAGAGAGGGAGAGAGCTGTCCCATAGCAATACATACACTGCTGCTGCTGCTGATGTCTCTTGTACCCAGGAAAAGGTGTATGAAGAAATTGCTTAACCAACCAGAGTTTAGTGGTCACATGACTATAAGAACAGTCTGTAGCTATGATATTGCGTATCGTGGATCATACATTTTGTCTGTCTGTGTGTGTGTGTGTGTGGCAAGGTATTCAATAAAACAACAGGTGAATAATTCGTAAGGGTGTGGTAGCTAAATCCCTGTGGGGAAATTAATTAACCCTTTGGACGCCATTGGTATCTGCTTAAATAAGCATAAATTGAGTATAAAGTCTTATGGAGGCTCTGGACACATTTATGTGTCCGTGGCTGGTTAAGTGTTAAGACGTACCACGCACAGATTCAACCGTAGCTGGAGTATCATCTGTGGTTCCATGTGTTCCATGAAGAAACTGCTGATTGTATTTTTTTTGTCTCTTTATTGCCTGTATTCTTCCCAAACCGAAGAAAGTGAGTTGATAAAAAGTGTATATATCTGTAGCACCAAATGTGGGAATGACTTTCAGATTGTGTGCTCGAGATATGTGACGTTGATAATGGCTATGAAGCCGGAGAGCAAATAATACTCTACTTGGAGCATAACTGTTCGCAGCATGATCCAGAGTGTACTTGGGACAACAGATCAAACACAGTTGCAATTTTCACACAGTCACAAAATGCCTCCCACGATACCGTTGAATCAACTCTCAATATAAGAAAAGAAGATGCAGAGAAAGGAGTTCACTCACTGTCTTGCTCCTTGGTCAATGGCAAGACAGCTTCTGCCCTGATCACAGTGACAAAATGTAAGTCAGTAACCAGCGTGCAACATGACCAAGTTTATTCTACATTACAGCGGCTACTCCCAGTCCTACAGCTCTTCCCACCTCATTTTCTCCTACAAAGAGTGTACAATTACAAACTACTCCAGAGAGCACTCCGTCTCTGACAGTAGAAGCTCCCACACCTACTGAAACAGAAACACCAGATAATAGTGCTAAGCCTCCAGGTTCATGTTGTGCTGTCGACGTCCTTCTTCTTCTCTTATTATGTACTATGCTGCAGATCGTGGTTTAGCATAATGTAGGAACATGAGATGAGAAAACAACGGAGAAAACAATGCTAAGCCATTATTGCTTGTGACTGACAACATGCAGCGAGCGCACGCGCGCGCGCCGCGCCGTGTGTGTACCGACCCGGCCGGCCCGTCGCATAAGGCGCAACAGTACAGGAACCTACCCTGGTGGAATCGCGCCGTGTGTATATAGCGTGGAGATGGGGCCATCCTTTTACGTTTTGCTGTCTCTTACTTGCCTGACAGGGGTACGTTGTATGCCGGTAGAATGACTTGAGTCACAGTAACCATCTTTTTTGTAGGACAACTAGAAATAGGTATTGTGAGTGGCTGCTCGTCAACTCTACACTATTTCAAAGGCAACTGCTCATGGATAAGTATGGTAGGGGTTTTTGAACAAGTGACCATAGCTCCACAAAAGACGATTGTTGGAATTGAGGATATAAGTAGATTAACTTTGAAATGTGTGGCTGAGGAGACTGTACGACTGAATGCAGTTATACACCGACACGGTGAGGACGGGATAAAGGTAGCTAATAACTCACTAGTGTGTTTCAATACAGATACTGATACTCTCCCATCACCCCAAAATGTAACTTTGGATAGCGAGACTGAGATTCTGAGCTGGAGCCATGTTTTCCATCCTGATCTGCCAGTGGACTTCAAGATCACCCACGAGTGTAACATCTCCTACCTGGTGACAGTGCTCCACAGAGAGAGTGGGGAGAGAGAAGAGACAATGATGTCACATGAGACCAGTCTCAACATATCTCGTCTCCTGGACCACTGCAGGAGACAAGAGTTCACTGTTCAGACTTTGGTCAATGACATCTTCTACAGTCAGAGCTCCTCCTACTTTACTAACCCCTCTGGTGAGGAGCTATTATATCTAGTTGAGTGTACATGAGCCATTGGCTTCTCTATTAGCCCTCTTCTTTCCTCACTCTCTCGTCAACACTGGTGGCAGAAGATGATACTACAGTCAGTGTAAAAGTAAGTATAATACAGGGAGATAAAGCAGTAGAGTGCATTGTTATTTCAACAGCTGAAGTTTTCTCTGGAGGCATCAGTGTGTGTCTCTCAGTTCCACGTAATCATTGATGGACTTGTCAACATCTCTTTCAATGTCACCAGCTCTGACAGAGAGAGAGGAGAAGTCACCTATGACCTCTCTCCATACGTATCTCCAGAGGATGTCTGTGATGTTGGAGCAGTGGTCTATGGTAGCAATGATATTGGAGATAGTACACCAATCGTAATACCCCTTGGAGGTAGCTATACTCTTGTGTAACCAGCGTTAAGATGAAGAATTTATAGTGTGTGTTGTCTCTCACAGGGTGCCTTCCTACAGTGACAGTTTCCTCTCAGTCAGGAATTTCATCAACAACTCAGTCCACACCACTACCCACCACACACGCTAATCCTTCAGAATCTTAATTTGTTCTCCCCGTGATTCTTGCAGGTACATACACACTATCTTATGTACACCAACCATGTTGTTCTATAAGGCCTTTTATAGCTACCACAGTCCTTGCTGTGATAGTGACAGCAGTACTGCTACTCCCTGTACTAGTCTTATATATCACCAGGAAGTGTAAGTACAGAGGTAAGATCAGTAATAGTACCTAGAGCCCCTCACCTAACTAATGTTCTACTCTATGTCTTCTTTCAGGTAAAGGCGGTAAGGTTACAGAAGATGTCTCACTGCAGACAAATGAGGCCTACTGTACAGTAACTACTGGAGTTCCAATGAAGAGAAATGAGGCATATGAGACTGTGCTGAGACCAGAAACTGACACTCTATCTCCAGTGTATGATATTGTACACTAACAGTAAAGTTGAAAGAAAACGCGACAGCTCTGCAAAACACGATTATGTGACATATTTTCTTCAAAATGTTATGAAAATAGCACTGTTGTCTGGCAAAGACTTCACTACCAAAGTCACAAACAACCTCAAGCTGCTGTGCATGCATACTTTGGGTGCAACTTTTTAAACCACCCACCCTGGGCATTTGTCTATTCTTCTCTCCACACTGCAAAACTACGACTGAGCTACCCCTCCCACATTACTGGGCATGCGCAAAGCCGCCGAAGAAAAATTAGGGCGCGATGCGGGTGAATGACCCTGCCTCGTCTTGGGTGGACCCCTCCCACTATTATTTAGGCGCATGCGCAAAAATACCGCGTTTGCACGGCGATTCGCTACGAAGATGAAGTGCGTAAGCATGGCTATCTTGCGAGAAACAAAAGATGTAGGGATGGGGTTATGAGTGACCCTCTGTCTTGGTGCAGGCATCTTGTTCCCTTGGCACACTGTCGCACATTTAGGTCGGCGGTAGCGACGGCTCATGCGCGCCAGACATAACGGCGGAGAGCGGCTAGCAGTAGTGCATACTACTAGCGTGAGTGCCTCCTGGGTTGATTGTGAGGGATGGGGCATTATTTATGCCTGATGGTCCTGCTGGCAATTACGTGCATGGCTGAGCAAGGTAAGTCGCTGCAGAGTACTAGCTGCATTTAGCTAACCCATTGCCTTTTTGATAGGGCAAATGGAAATCGGTATTTTGGATGGATTCTCATCAACCCTACGATATCTCAATGGCAACTGCTCGTGGAGAGTTACTACAATTGCAGCAGGGAATGAGGTAGATGATGGAACTGAGTGTAGGACCACTGATAACACTGGTTGGTGGAGAAGGGGACATAGAGACATTCACTTTGAAATGTGTAACTGACGAGGGCGAGCAACTGAATGCATTGATCGTTACACACAGTAAGTGCATGGATGTGTCAAGTTTTTTCAAAATGTCTCTGTGATACACAGCTCTTGAAACTATCCCACAACCCACAATTATTGCTCTGGATTATGAGACTGGGATCCTCGATTGGAGCCATCCATTTCATCCTGATCTACCAGTGGACTTTGAGATTATCCACCAGTTCAGAGTCGTCTACCTAGTCAATGAGACAGACAGAGAGAGTGGGGAGACAATGATGTCACATGAGACCAGTCTCAACATATCTCATGTCCTGGACCACTGCAGGAGACAAGAGTTCACTGTTCAGACTTTGGTCAATGACATCTTCTACAGTCAGAGCTCCTCCTACTTAACTAACCCCTCTGGTGAGTAGATAAGCATATCTAGCCACAGCCATTGACCTCTTCCATTAGCCCCAGCTTTCCTCACTCTCTCGCCATCACTGGTGGCAGAAGATGATAATACAGTCAGTGTAAATGTAAGAAGCTTTGCAGCAGTAGAGTGCATTGATCATTGTTATTTCACCAGGTGAAGTTTGCTCTAGAGGCATCAGCGTGTATCTCTCAGTTCCACGTGATCATTGATGGACTATTCAACATCCCTTTCAATGTCACCAGCTCTGACAGAGAGAGAGGAGAGGTGACATATGACCTCTCTCCATACATATCTCCAGAGGATATCTGTAATGCGAATGCTGTGGTCTATGGTAGCAATGATAATGGAGATAGTACACCAGTCGTAATACCCCGTTGAAAGTATGTAACTTGTGTGTGTAGGTGTGGATGAAAGTGTGTGTTGTCTCTCACAGGATGCCTTCCTGCAGTGACAGTTTCCTCTCAGTCAGGAATTTCATCAACAACTCAGTCCACACTAGAGCCCCTCAACTAACTAATGTTCTAACTCTTTCAGGTAAAGGCAGTGGTGTTACTGAAGATGTCTCACTGCAGACAAATGAGGCCTACTGTACAGTAACTACTGGAGTTCCAATGAAGAGAAATGAGGCATATGAGACTGTGCTGAGACCAGAAACTGACACTCTATCTCCAGTGTATGATATTGTACACTAACAGTAAATTGAAAGAAAACGCGACAGCCCTGCAAAACACAATTATGGGACCATATGAGCATATTTTCTTCAAAATGTTATGAAAATAGCACTGTTGTCTGGCAAAGACTTCATAAAGTCACAAACAACCTCAAGCTGCTGTGCATGCATACTTTGGGTGCAGCTTTTTAAACCACCCACCCTGGGCATTTTGTATATTCGATCTTCTCTCCACACTGGAGCACACCCCTCCCACTATTATTTAGGCGCATGCGCAGAAATCCCGCAGGAGATGCGTTTGCTCGGTGATTCGCTACTATACTATCGAAGATGAAGTGCGGAAGCATGGCTATCTTGCGAGAAACAAAAGATGTAGGGATGGGGTTATGAATGACCCTCTGTCTTGGTGTGGGCATCTTGTTCCCTTCTTTTTCATGACACACTGTCGTACATTTAGGTCGGCGCCAGTGACTACCCATGCGCGCGCTAACGGCGGAGAGCGGCTAGCATAGTGCGTATAGCTATTGCCGTGTGTGCCTCCTGGGTTGATTGTGAGGGATGGGGCATTATTTATGCCTGATGGTCCTGCTGGCAATTACGTGCATGGGTAAGTCGCCACAGAGTGGCTGCATTTAGCTAGCCCATTGCCTTTTTGATAGGGCAAATGGAAGTAGATATTTTGGATGGATTCTCATCAACCCTGCGCTATCTCAATGGCAACTGCTCGTGGAGAGTTACTACAATTGCAGCAGGGATTGAGGTAGAGGTGGAAGTGAGTGTAGGACCACAGAGGACTCTAGTTGGTGGAGAAGGGGACACAGAGAGATTCACTTTGAAATGTGTAACTGAGGAGGGCGAGCAACTGAATGCAATAATCGTTACGCACAGTAAGTGCATGGTATTGGTAAAATGTGCCATTGATGTTCCTGTGACACACAGCTCTTGAAACTATCCCACAACCCACAATTATTGCTCTGGATTATGAGACTGGGATCCTTGATTGGAGCCATCCATTTCATCCTGATCTGCCAGTGGACTTTGAGATTATCCACCGGTTCAGAGTCGTCTACCTAGTCAATGAGACAGACAGAGACAGTGGGGAGACAGTGATATCACATGAGAGCAGTCTCAGCGTATCTCGTCTCCTTGACCACTGCAGGAGACAAGAGTTCACTGTTCAGACTTTGGTCAATGACATCTTCTACAGTCAGAGCTCCTCCTACTTAACTAACCCCTCTGGTGAGTAGCTATCTAGTTGAGTGTACATGAGCCATTGACTTCTCTATTAGCCCCAGCTTTCCTCACTATCTCGCCATCACTGGTGGTAGAAGATGACACTAAAGTCAGTGTCAAAGTAAGTATAAATACAGGAAAACCAAGCAGTATAGAGTGCATTGATCATTGTTATTTCACCAGGTGAAGTTTTCTCTGGAGGTATCAGTGTGTATCTCTCAGTTCCACGTAATCATTGATGGAGTAGTCAACATCTCTTTCAATGTCACCAGCCCTGATAGAGAGAGGGGAGAGGTCACCTATAACCTCTCTCCATACTTATCCTCAGAGGGTGTCTGTGATGTGGGAGGCATCGGTCTATGGTAGCAATAATATAGGAGAGAGCACTCAAGTACAAATCCCTAGAGGTAATTATTAGTAGCCATGCCACCTTATTCGTTGCCCCCCACCCCAGGAGGCTCACACTGCACACCTACAGGCATCATCACTATGCCTACTCTACTTTCCACCACACCAACGCTCACCCCACCATATTCAGAAGACTTGGTACCTGGCATTAGCGTTACAGTCATTATTACAGGTTTGTACAATGACAGTTTCCTCTCAGTCAGGAATTTCATCAACAACTCAGTCCACACCACTACCCACCACACCCGCTAATCCTTCAGAATCATTTGTTCTCCCCGTAATTCTTGCAGGTACCTATATACTATCTTATGTACACCAACCGTGTTGTTTTATAAGGCCTTGTAAACTTTTCTATAGCTACCACAGTTCTTGCTGTGATAGTGATAGCAGTACTGCTACTCCCTGTACTAGTCTTATATATCACCAGGAAGTGTAAGTACAGAGGTAACAACAGTAAATACCTATAGAGCCCCTCACCTAACTAATATTCTAACTCTAATTTTCTTTCAGGTAAAGGAGGTGGGGTTACTGAAGATGTGTCACTGCAGACAAATGAGGCCTACTGTACAGTAACTACTGGAGTTCCAATGAAGAGAAATGAGGCATATGAGACTGTGCTGAGACCAGAAACTGACACTCTATCTCCAGTGTATGATATTGTACACTAACAGTAAAGTGAGAAAACGTGACAGCCCTGCAAAACACGATTATGTGACCATATGAGCATATTTTCTTCAAAATGTTATGAAAATAGCACTGTTGTCTGGCAAAGACTTCACTACCAAAGTCACAAACAACCTCAAGCTGCTGTGCATGCATACTTTGGGTGCAGCTTTTTAAAACACCCACCCTGTGCATTTTGTCTATTCCTCTCTCCACACTGCAAACTACCAGCAAGAACAAACTACAACACACCCCTCCCACTATTATTTAGGCGCATGCGCAAAAATCCCGCAGTAGATGCGTTTGCACGGCGATTCGCTACGAAGATGAAGTGCGTAAGCATGGCTATCTTGCGAGAAACAAAGGATGTAGGGATGGGGTTATGAATGACCCTCTGTCTTTGTGTGGGCATCTTGTTCCCTTCTTTTTCATGGCACACTGTCGTACATTTAGGTCGGCGGCAGTGACTGCTCATGCGCGCGCCAGACATAACGGCGGAGAGCGGCTAGCTAGCAGTAGTGCGTATAGTATTTTTTCTAATTAACGCGCCAGAAAAAATAATTTAAAATCATGTACGGGGTAATTACCACGCGCCGTTGGCGCAATAATAGAACGGCGCTTAGTAAATAGAACGTTCATGATACTTTTCCTCTTCCCCCTTTTCTGCAGCAGTATTGGTACCTTGGGAACTCTCGCTTGGTACCGCACCATCGCTACTCGATGGTTTATTGAAGTAATATTCCAGAGAACGCTGCATTTTTTCACCAACCAGCAGGCAGCAGCGCAGCAGCGCAGCATGCAGCGGCACTGCACGTGTTCGTTCCAATTATCAACGCGCCAGAAAATAATATTTACATTTTACCATTGGCGCACTATTAGAACTAACAATAAACTCTGGACTTCTTGTTTGGCGCTCTATAAGAGCGCCGCCTTAATTAGAAAAAAATACGGTAGCTACTGCCGTGTGTGCCTCCTGGGTTGATTGTGAGGGATGGGGTATTATTTATGCCTGATGGTCCTGCTGGCAATTACGTGCATGGGTAAGTCGCCGCAGAGTAGCTGCATTTAGCTAGCCCATTGCCTTTTTGATAGGGCAAATGGAAATCGGTATTTTGGATGGATTCTCATCAACCCTGCGCTATCTCAATGGCAACTGCTCGTGGAGAGTTACTACAATTGCAGCAGGGATTGAGGTAGAGGTGGAAGTGAGTGTAGGACCACAGAGGACTCTAGTTGGTGGAGAAGGGGACACAGAGAGATTCACTTTGAAATGTGTAACTGAGGAGGGCGAGCAACTGAATGCAATAATCGTTACGCACAGTAAGTGCATGGTATTGGTAAAATGTGCCATTGATATTCCTGTGACACACAGCTCTTGAAACTATCCCACAACCCACAATTATTGCTCTGGATTATGAGACTGGGATCCTCGATTGGAGCCATCCATTTCATCCTGATCTACCAGTGGACTTTGAGATTATCCACCAGTTCAGAGTCGTCTACCTAGTCAATGAGACAGACAGAGATAGTGGGGAGACAATGATGTCACATGAGAGCAGTCTCAGCGTATCTCGTCTCCTTGACCACTGCAGGAGACAAGAGTTCACTGTTCAGACTTTGGTCAATGACATCTTCTACAGTCAGAGCTCCTCCTACTTAACTAACCCCTCTGGTGAGTAGCTATCTAGTTGAGTGTACATGAGCCATTGACTTCTCTTATTAGCCCCAGCTTTCCTCACTATCTCGCCATCACTGGTGGTAGAAGATGACACTAAAGTCAGTGTCAAAGTAAGTATAAATACAGGAAAACCAAGCAGTATAGAGTGCATTGATCATTGTTATTTCACCAGGTGAAGTTTGCTCTAGAGGCATCAGTGTGTATCTCTCAGTTCCATGTAATCATTGATGGAGTAGTCAACATCTCTTTCAATGTCACCAGCCCTGATAGAGAGAGGGGAGAGGTCACCTATAACCTCTCTCCATACTTATCCTCAGAGGGTGTCTGTGATGTGGGAGGCATGGTCTATGGTAGCAATAATATAGGAGAGAGCACTCAAGTACAAATCCCTAGAGGTAATTATTAGTAGTCATGCCACATTATTCGTTACCCTCCCCCCCACCCAGGAGGCTCACACTGCACACCTACAGGCATCATCACTATGCCTACTCTACTTTCCACCACACCAACGCTCACCCCACCATATTCAGAAGACTCGGTACCTGGCATTAGTGTTCCAGTCATTATTACAGGTTTGTAATAAATAGGTGTTATTGGTGGATAGGTGTTATGTAATACAGTCAAATTCTTTTTTCTTTCTCAGTGTCCATCATTTCCCTATTCATGATCGGCACCGTCACCATTATCATCATCACTATTACACGACTTTTGTCTTACAAGAAAAAAGGTATAGTATTCTAACCCAGCCCCACCCTAAATATCAATCACCATGAGGGTGATATGGAGTGCGTGGTTGAGGGATTTGTGGGCCTAACAGTATATAGTAACATTCAATGCAGGTAGAGGGAATTCAGTGGTACCACCAGTCTCTGCAACCTGTCCAGATGATGTGGCGCCCAAAGTGAGGTACATACGCAACTTATTTTTGTTTAGACTGACCCCACCTAATGGTCTGATGCATCTGAACAGCGGACCATGCACAGAGGTGTGTGTGTGTGTGTTGGAGATGTTCGACACTTGGCACAATGTAGCCACGATGTACATAACACAAGCCTCAATGTTATGAATGTTGGCACAGATGTATGTGTGTATGTATGTTGCAACACTTGGCAATGACGTGGTTTGAAAGACAGGCCAGTCCATTAGGGAGTTCTGCTCTCTTACAGTGTAACTAGAATGACATGGCATTTTTTAGCACAGCAGTTCCATTTTACGCATGTATTTGCAATGGCACTCAATTTTGTCTACACAAACTCCAATTGATTTTCAAGATCCATATTATTATGCTGTGAAGTGGAGCCTACAACCGGCGCTATGGAGACTAAGAACCTGTCTGTCGAACCCACCCCAGAATATGTAGAAATTGACCATGCTGCAACTGAAAGAGTTAGACAGGTAAACTTAAAGTTCTTTCTACATTATAAAGTTATCTCTTTCAGCAGTGTAGGCAAGGAGGAGCTGACAAACTACTGAGCTTGGAGGTATGTGCATCCTCAGCTACTACAGTTCACTCTATATGGTTGTATTACACACAATGTATGTAGTGAAGCCCCTGGGAAATACCCTGGGAAAGACCCTGCCATTATTGGTGAGTATGTAGGAGATCTTATAAAGCATGTTTTCATGGAGCCATTGTTTTCAAAGGTCTCACTCATGAATGCCACTATGACCTTCTAGCTGCCTGTACTGCTGCCGGTGAAAGCTCGCTGGTTTGAGCTCGGAATGAAACTTGACCTCTCTGAGAACTTCCTGGACGAGACGGAGACCAACATGGATAGTGTGGAGGAGTGTCTGGGGGAAATGCTACAGAATTGGCTCCTGTACCACGACCCCACCATGGAGACTCTAAATAACGCCCTCTCTCGGATGATACTCTCCCCCATCACGTTCGATACCACCTCCAGCGGTATATACCTAATACAATCATCCACACACATGGAGCTGTGTATACGTAGTCAAGTTGTTGTTGATTTTGAATGCTTATGTTTTTCATTCCTGTTGTTCTTCCCTCCGCACAGAGTTTGTTTCTGTCCCTGAGTGAGTGGGGGTTAAGGTTCAAGAGGACACAACAGTACTGTAACGGTTTGAATTACTATCAATCATAGAGTGATATAAAATTCTCTGTGATTTTGTAGATCAGCAAAAGTTGTGGATTGTACTGTATTGTTTGTTATTCCCACAAGTAAAAAAAAGATTCCACAAGTAAAATGTAGATCCCACGAGTAAAAAAATCCTCGCCACCTTTCATGCTGTTTGTCTGTGATGGTGTTTTCCGCCAAATCCATATAGAAAGCTTTCAGCAGTGTTTTTAGTTGCACAAAAAAACTTATGAATTTCAGGCAATATGAAACAAATAACAAACTCTTACACTTTTAGTCCAAACTACAAACAATGGCACTCTATCTTGAAAGGTTCGACCTCAACAGGCATTTTCATCAAACCGCTCGTACTCAAACTCTGTATCAAACAGTCCATCCACAATGTACTGAGAGTAAGACCCCTCAATCACAGAGTTGATTGGGTCACGTGACCCCTCTGGGCCACCCTGGGAGTTGCCCACATAGTAGCAGCCGTCATCAGAGAGATCCCAGACGAGATGGTAGAAGAGAGCGGGGAAGTGGCGGTAGCTGGGGTGGCCTGGCTGGTAGAGTTCTATGTCTGGAGAGCTATCGGAGTCCAGGTCACCCACTGATATTGGGATGTTCCAGAACTGACCTGAGATTGGATGAAAGGGTGGTGAGGGTAAGAGAGAGTTGGTGAGTGGGACTGACCGAGGAGACCGTGGGAGGAAGGGCGGAGGGAGGAGCCTCGGTTGACGTCGAAGCAAAGTCTGTTGGACATGCAGGTGACCCACATTACCAGCCCAGGTCGCTGGTAGTTGGGTACTGCCACCCTCCACAGGTTGATCATCACTCGACTCACCCTCACCTGACTAATGGTGACAGACCCATCCACCTCTCTCCCTCCCACCCACGCCACACACAACTCCAGATCAACCTCGACCTCCACACACCCCTCAGGGCCTCCTGACGAGGCCTTCACTCCTATCTTGCTTATTCTATTTCTCTGTACGTCGGATGGCATGGCGGTGTAGTAGGCATTTGCAGAGACACAGGTATCTGAGATGAGGTTGAAGTAGCGCCCAGCCTCTCCGTGAACCTCGTAGCCAGAGAGAGTTCCCGTCGCTGCCTGGGATGGCCACTGTGAACTGAGGGTCTGCAACGACCGAGTCGTTCAACCTTGGACCTACAGTTGGAGCTGCAGGGGAGAGGAGAGATACTGTATCAACTCAACTAGATAGCTTCCTTGGCGAAGGAGAGTCGGGATTAACGTTTTACTTATGTACACCTGTTGACTGTAATGCCATGCCGTTCACAAACATCATTGCATACGTCAGCGTAACTCGCAAAGCACAAAAGCAGGACAATCTGAACATACCTGGTGGAGTAGTTACCTCCAGTGACACGGTAGGCCCACTACCAATGATGTTTGCTGCAGTCACACTCAAACTGTAGAACATTATGCGGATCCATGTGAGGTGTACCATATATATAGACTGCATGCAGCAGAAAAGCTCACTTGTAGGTGGTAGCAGGAGAGAGACCAGTGTGAATGAAAGGCCCTGCTACAGCTCCAAGCTCCATTTGGCTGGAGAGATCCCGTATTCCGAGAAAGTAGTTTGTGATTTCACTGCCTGTTTCAAAGGAGAGTCGTCACCATCAATACAGGTAGAGGGGATGGCATTTATGTACCTCCGTCACTGTCAGGAGGAGACCAGGAGATCTCAATGGCAGTTGGACAACAGTAATACCTAACTCTAGCAGTAAGGTTACAGAAGATGTCTCACTGCAGACAAATGAGGCCTACTGTACAGTAACTACTGGAGTTCCAATGAAGAGAAATGAGGCATATGAGACTGTGCTGAGACCAGAAACTGACACTCTATCTCCAGTGTATGATATTGTACACTAACAGTAAAGTTGAAAGAAAATGCGACAGCCCTGCAAAACACGATTATGTGACCATATGAGCATATTTTGTTCAAAATGTTATGAAAATAGCACTGTTGTCTGGCAAAGACTTCACTACCAAAGTCACCAAACAACCTCAAGCTGATGTGCATGCATACTTTGGGTGCAGCTTTTTAAACCACCCACATTGGGCATTTGTCTATTCTTCTCTCCACACTGCAAACTACCAGCAAGAACAAACCAGAGCACACCCTCCCACTATTATTTTGGCGCATGCGCAGAAAGCCCGCAATGGCAATCGCGCAGATAGCTTTCTTGCAAGAAACGAAGGATGTAGGGACGGGGTTATGACTGACCCTCTATCTTGGTGTAGGCATCTTCTTGTTGTTCTTACCTTTTTTTCATGGCACACTGTCGTATATTTAGTGCGGCGGCGTCCTCTGACTGCTCATGCGCGCGTATGGCACGCCAACAGTATCAAACCGGAAAGCGGCTAGCAGGGGTGCGAGATCGATTGTGAGGGATGGGGCAATATTTATGTCTGATGGTCCTGCTGGCAATTACGTGCATGGCTGAGGGTAAGTCGCCGCACAGAGCTGCATTTAGCTAACCCATTCCCTTCTTTCTGGTAGGGCAAATAGAAATCGGTATTTTGGACGGATTCTCATCAGCCCTACGATATCTCAATGGCAACTGCTCGTGGAGAGTTACTACAATTGCAGCAGGGTTTGAGGTAGAGGTGGAAGTGAGTGTAGGTCCACAGACGACTCTGGTTGGTGGAGAAGGGATACAGAGACATTCACTTTGAAATGTGTAACTGACGAGGCGAGCAACTGAATGCGTTGATCGTTACACACAGTAAGTGCATGGATGTGTATAGTTTTCGTCAATGTCTCTGTGACACACAGCTCTTGAAACTATCCCACAACCCACAATTATTGCTCTGGATTATGAGACTGGGATCATAGATTGGAGCCATCCATTTCATCCTGATCTACCAGTGGACTTTGAGATTATCCACCAGTTCAGAGTCGTCTACCTAGTCATGAGACAGACAGAGAGAGTGGAGAGACAATGATGTCACATGAGACCAGTCTCAACATATCTCATCTCCTGGACCACTGCAGGAGACAAGAGTTCACTGTTCAGACTCTGGTCAATGACTTCTTCTACAGTCAGAGCTCCTCCTACTTAACTAGCTCCTCCTACTTAACTAACCCCTCTGGTGAGTAAATGAGCATAGCTACATCCACATTGACTTCTTCCAGTAGCCCCAGCTTTCCTCACTATCTCGCCATCACTGGTGGCAGTAGATGATATACAGTCAGTGTGAAAGTAAGTATAAATACAGGGAGACAAAGCAGTAGAGTGCATTGATCATTGTTATCTCGCCAGGTGAAGTTTTCTCTGGAGGCGTCAGTGTGTATCTCTCAGTTCCACGTAGTCATTGATGGACTAGTCAACATCTCTTTCAATGTCACCAGCTCTGACAGAGACAGAAGAGAGGTGACATATGATCTCTCTCCATACATATCTCCAGAGGATGTCTGTAATGTGGGAGCTGTGGTCTATGGTTGTAATGACTTTGGAGAGAGCACACCAGTTGTAATCCCCCTTGGAGGTAGCTAGCTATGTGAACACTGTGTAGATGTAGATGAAAGTGTGTGTTGTCTCTCACAGGGTGCCTTCCTGCATGACAGTTTCCTCTCAGTCAGGAATTTCATCAACAACTCAGTCCACACCACTACCCACCACACCAGCTAATCTTCAGAATCATTTGTTCTCCCCGTGATTCTTGCAGGTACCTACATAGCTATCTTATGAAAAACATGTTTATGCTACTACTCAGAGAAAAGAAAGAACCACCCAGCACACTAAAACCGACAATAAATACTATGAGGCCTTGTGAATTTCTCTATGCACAGCCCTTGCTGTGATAGTGGCACCAGTACTGCTACTCCCTGTACTAGTCTTATATATCACCAGGAAGTGTAAGTGCAGAGGTAACAACAGTATATATCTAAATACCCTCGCCTAATTCATGTTGTCCTCACAGGTAAAGTCAGTGGTGTTACTGAAGATGTCTCACTACAGACAAATGAGGCCTACTGTACAGTAACTACTGGAGTTCCAATGAAGAGAAATGAGGCATATGAGACTGTGCTGAGACCAGAAACTGACACTCTATCTCCAGTGTATGATATTGTACACTAATCTGTAATCTTAAAGAAAATGCGACAGCTTTGCAAAACACGATCATGTGACCATATGAGGATATTTGCATTCTTCTTCAAAATGTTTCCCTGTTATCTGGCAAAGACTTCACTGCCAAAGTCAATACCTCAGTCAATACCAAACCCCAAGTACCATAACCCTCAAACTGCTGTGCATGCATGCTTTGGGTGCAGCTTTTTAAATCACCCACCCTGGTACTTCTTATGACTGTCTTGATGCAGGCATCTTGTTCCCTTCCTTTTCATGGCACACTGTCGCATATTTAGGCCGGCGGCGTCCACTTACTGGTCATGAACGTGCCAGACCTAGCTAACGGAGAGCGGCTAGCCTCAAAACCAGGCCTTTTGCCTCCTCCATGTGCGCATGCTCCATACGTTATTATTACGCGTAGATCGCTGTTTTTTTCACCCAAAAAAATATTTTTTTACAAATATTTACATGACATGACGAATAAAAGTGTGAGACACAAAAAAACAAAAGAAAAGGCAGTAAGTTATAATTATACACAAAGAAATTCACCAAAAAAAGAACCAAAACAACAAAAGAAAACACAAAGAACAAAAAACAAACAAAAAAACCACAAACATCAAAAAAAATTATGGAATGGTAACTGTCGGATGTTTCTAGTAGGCGAATGCAGGGCATTTTTGGCGAGCGGGAGCGAGCACACAATGACTGTATATGCACGAGCCATCCTAGCAACTTGCACCTTGAAAGCACGAAGATTGGAAAGAGGTACCTTTCACTCTCCTTTGCTCGATTAGCTGAACCGGAAAAAGGTTTTTATGTTTGCCTCTTGCTGCACTTGCAAACAAGTCACAGAACACAGCAGAGAAACGCCCATCTCTCACAGTAACAAACAGAGCATCTATCAGCAGAGACTTTTGTTATTCCCCCCTGCCCCACTTGTTTGACTACATTGGTACAGTTTCAGTCAGGCACTAAAGAGCAGCGAATTCCGCCAAATGGAGGTGAGCTCTCTCGCTGGCTAGACCGCGCATCGCTGCCTCCGAACTCCGAAATACTCCCACACGTAATTGGCGAGTGGGAGCGTATGGAACACCAAATGCGATAAAAATACTGAAACGTATGGAAGCCGAGAAGGGCCATTCCATACTTCCGTTCTACACGAACTTTAATTCTTCCACTCTTCTATCCTTCCATCTGCGCAGGCTTGAATGCGCATGCGCCCACCTGTGATTACCTATCCTGATCATTCGCCCGGCATATGTCCTCTGTGCGATACAGCTGATCTGGACAAACCAACCTTGGCCGAACATGTCATCACCAACCACACAAAAAGTTACAACTCCTGAAGCACTCTACTTGACTCTTTGACTACCATGGACCTCACCTTCTTCAGTCATGTTATATGCTTCTTTAAACGCTAAAAACTGATCAGATTAGCACGTTCAGCATATGAACTTACCCTAGAAACCTGCAATGTCGCTCCCAGCTAGCTGCAAGAAACGCGTCAAATCTCCCAGTACTACCTAAATGACAAATTATTACAAAATGAAGCGTCTTACGCCCGAAAATAGCTTCATTTTAACAAATTCAGCGTCCAAACTTACCCTAGAAAAGTGCTCAGATCTTGTTTATGTGCCATGCCGCGTTTGCGCTCTAATTGTACGTATCAACATTTGACCGTAACTGTTACTATTATAGGCACGTGGCACTGTGTGTGTGTGGCCTGCTGCAATTCCCTTCTGGCTCAGTTGACTCGAGGCTAAGCAGCAGCGGTGCGTATCGTGTGTGCCTGGGAGAGATGAGTCGATATTTATGCCTGATAGTCCTGCTGGCAATTACGTGCATGGCTGAGGGTAAGTCGCCGCACAGAGATACATTTAGCTAACCTATTGCCATTTTTCTGATAGGGAAAATCGAAATCGGTATTTTGGATGGATTCTCATCAACCCTGCGCTATCTCAACGGCAACTGCTCGTGGAGAGTTACTACAATTGCAGCAGGGATTGAGGTAGAGGTGGTAGTGAGTGTAGGACCACTGACGACACTGGTTGGTGGAGAAGGGGATACAGAGAGATTCACTTTCAAATGTGTAACTGAGGAGGGCGAGCAACTGAATGCGTTGATCGTTACACACAGTAAGTGCATGGATTTGTATAATTTGTCGTCAATGTTTCTGTGATACACAGCTCTTGAAACTATCCCACAACCCACAATTATTGCTCTGGATTATGAGACTGGGATCCTCGATTGGAGCCATCCATTTCATCCTGATCTACCAGTGGACTTTGAGATTATCCACCAGTTCAGAGTCGTCTACCTAGTCAATGAGACAGACAGAGAGAGTGGAGAGACAATGATGTCACATGAGGCCAGTCTCAACATATCTCATGTCCTGGACCACTGCAGGAGACAAGAGTTCACTGTTCAGACACTGGTCAATGACCTCTTCTACAGTCAGAGCTCATCCTACTTAACAGTTTCAACGCGGGAAGCGTATATATACGCACGCGCGCCCTCCTCCCTTCTCCGCGGAAGGCGTATAATTACGTCACTCCGCTTGTCCGCGTCCACCTAGTACACCTACCTACCTAGTACCTACCTGCTGCGGCGATCTCCCCTTCCTGAACAAGCTAGCCATGAAACCACCTGGGCCACACCTACTACTCAAGCCCCTGCACACGAGAAAGCGGCTGCTTATTATGCTAGCCATGCCCCAACAAGCGTCTGCAGAATCGAGCCCCTCCCAGTGGCAATGGCAGAGAGAGCTACTTAACTTTCACAGTAGACCAGGTGATAGATAAGCTTGGTGATGAGAGTGATGATGATAGATATTTGGACACTGAATTTGATGACGACGGGAATGAGAGGAACGAGGATGTTGAGGAAGCCGATGATCAAGTAGATGTAGGTACGAATGTGGAGATTGGTCCTAGCGACACAGATGTACCAGAGTACAACCTCAGTCCTGGATGTTCTGCTGCAGTTGAAGGCAACAGCCCTCTCTCTTATCTCTTCTGATCACCAACAGCATGTTGCAGAGTAAGACCAATCTCTATGCTCAGCAATTCATGATCTGGAGTTGTGAAAAGGGTGTCTTTGATGTCACTGAGCTGTTACAGTTCCTCACCATAATCATAGTTATGGGAATTGTGCGCTTATAACAATGATGATGTGTGTGACTTTATTGACCAGTATGTCTCATGTAAAGTCCCAGTAGAAGATGGCAAATTGAAAGACGCTACCCGCAGATCGAGAGTCACTGGTCGACACTTTGGCCCTACTCCAACACTCAGTTTTCTAGTGTAAGTTCACATTGTGTGTTCGTTGAAAAAAGGTTACGCTGTATGCATACATTGCAGGTCATGAAAAGGGATAGGTTCACACTTATCCTTCGATTCCTGCACCTGAATGACAGTCGTCACTACAAGAAGACAGGAGAGCCTGGACATGACCCTCTCTAAAAACTGCGACCCTTTATCGACTATCTTTTGGACAACGTTCAGGCCCATTACGTCCTCTATCGGGAGTTGTCTATCGATGAGACCATGATCGGCTTCATGGCAGAGTCTACTTCATCCAGTACTTGCCCAACAAACCAACCAGGTGGGGCTTGAAGGCATATGTTCTGCCCGACTCTCACACAGGATACAAGTACAATTGGTACCTGTACACAGGTGTGTATAAATAATAAATACAAAATATGTCATTTACCATATACATATACTTTTACATATAACAAATATTCATTTACCATAAACACATACTCCTGTACACATAAAGATAGTGTTTTTGCTCACAGGAAAGGATGACTCCCTGGATAGTGAGCTGGACATGACGTCTGCTGTGGTGCTGCGACTGGTAGAGCCACTTCAGGGCCGTGGACATCACTCTACGTGGACAATTTCTACACGTCCCCATTGCTGTTCAGCGAGCTCTGTGAACGTGGGTTTGAGGCTTGTGGCACCCTACGGCTGAACCGCAGAGGAGTACCTCCTGTGGTAAAAGTGCCGATGAGCAAGGGGAGATGATGGAATGAAGATCGTACAGTGGCATGACAAGCGAGTGGTGTCGATACTCTCTACGATTCATGAGGGACAAGACAGTTGAGGTGGAGCGTCGTTCTCGCCACACAGTTGGAGGACGTGAGGTGGTTGAGAAACCAGAGGCAGTCACTGAATACAACAAGTATATGGGGGGAGTCGACAGGGGGATCAGCTGCTCTCTTATTATGGGTTTCCCCACCATAAGATCAAGTGGTGGAAGAGAGCATTGTTTGATGCTGCTGTCGTGAACAGCTACGTTATGTATAGCAACAAACAATCTACTGGACGAAAATTCCCTCATGAGTTTTTCGTATTCAACTTGCGAAGGAGCTTTTACAACTGGCAAGTAGCATGTCGTCTACCCCCAGCTCTTCGCCATCCCACGGTCCTCATAATCAACCCCAGCAACCACTTGGTTGTCTCCGGGAACGTCACTTTCCAAGGCAGTATGAGAAGTCAGGCAGTGGCCGACAGATTCAGCGGTGCTGTGCTGTGCGCAGTAACAAAAAGGGGAAATGAAAAAACAATGCTACATGCCGATGTGTATATAGTCTATAACGACCCTGCTTTGAACTGCACAATACTAAATGTCGACCTCTCCAGATATCTCTAACATTCGAATCAACCCAAGCAGCATATACTTCTTACTCTCAGCATGGAACAAGCGCGGGAATAAAAAGTGGGCGTTGTCCCTGCCGTTTGCTGTCTTTTTCCACCAAAGCAAAGCTCTAGCAAGAGCTGTAAAGGTTCTGCAAACATCTGTGGACCATCTCCAACTCTCGCAGAGTGTAGAAATCGACGCAGTCTCGGAGTACCGCGATCCTTCGCGTCTTTACCAAACCACGCAGTTCGCGCCGCGATTGTGTTCGACGCGCCGATTTCAGCACATGCGCTCAAAGGGTTAACCAACCCTGGTGAGCTACATAGATTATAGATCGAGTTGAGTTTATATTATGACTTCTCCTACTAGCCCCTTTTTTCCTCACTCTCTCGCCATCACTGGTGGCAGAAGATGATAATACAGTCAGTGTATTAAAGGTAAGTATAAATACAGGGAGACAAAGCATTAGAGTGCATTGATCATTGTTATTTCACCAGGTGAAGTTTGCTCTAGAGGTCGTCAGTGTGTGTCTCTCAGTTCCACGTAATCATTGATGGAGTAGTCAACATCTCTTTCAATGTCACCAGCTCTGACAGAGAGAGAGGAGAGGTGACATATGACCTCTCGCCATACTGTATCTCCAGAGGATGTCTGTAATGTTGGAGGCATGGTCTATGGGAGCAATAATATAGGAGAGAGCACTCCAGTACAAATCTCTAGAGGTATTATTAGTAGCCATGCCACATTATTTGTTACCAACCTCCCCCCATCCCATCCCAGGAGGCTCACACTGCACACCTACAGGCATCACCGCTATACCTACTCCACCTTCCACTACACCAACACTCACCCCACCGTATTCAGAAGAATCAGCACCCAGCATTAGTGTTCCAGTCATTATTACAGGTTTGTAATTATTATTGAATAGTGATACAGTCAAACTCGTTTTCTTTCTCAGTGTCAGTTCTTTCCCTGTTCATGATCGGCACCGTCACCATTATCATCATCATTATTACACTAATTTTGTGTTACAAGAAAAAAGGTATAGTTATTTAACCAACCCTACCCTAAAAACAATCACCATGAAGGGTGGTAGATGGGGTGCGTGGTTCAGGGATTTTGTGGGCCTAACAGTAGTAACATTCAATGCAGGTAGACAGAAGTCAGTGGTACCACCAGTCTCTGCAACCTGTCCAGATGATGTGGCGCCGAAAGTGAGGTACATAGTACTGTCCCCACCTAATGGTCTGATGCATCTGAACAGCGGACCATGCACAGAGGTGTATGTGTGTATGTATGTTGGAGATGGTGCAACACTTGCCACAATGTAACCACAATGTACATGACACAAGCCACAATGTACATAACACAAACCTCAACCTATACATACCTGGAACTGTGTACATAGTAAAGTTGTTGTTGATTTTGAATTTGAGGTATGTGTGCAAGAGCCTTAAATTTTACTAAAGGTATAACTTACTGTTAAAGTGTACAATACGTTTGACTGCTGCCCCAGCTATGATGTTGGGGTAGCAAGTGCTTCTCCAGAAAAATGGTATACTGACACCCCTACATCACCCTCAATACCACCTCCAGCGGTACGTACATTAGTCAGCATTGTGAACTTGCAGTGCATGCACATATATATATACTTTGAAAGCTTAGGAGCTGCCTCAGCTTGCTCAAGTTGCTGCACCATAGAGACAAAACTTGCAAGAATCTTTTTGCATGGGATCATGTATACCTGTCTAACTCGTTCAGTTTCAACATGGTCAATGTCTACATATTCAGAAGTAGGGTTCGTAGAGAACAACTTCTTTTCTCTAGCTCCTGTCCTTGGCTCCACCACACGTCTTTCAGACCTACAAGAGAGTTACATACTCACTATGTAGTGGTAATTGCCTTTGACAGGTCATGGACATAGTGTAATGTCATAAGGACATCCCTAACTACAAGATAATCACGTCACAGGACTACTTATGGCAAGTGCACTCCCTGCCCACATACCTACCTAGGAGAGGCTGGGGGATCCTCACTACTGCTTTCACCTGCACGAAGAGCCTGTTTACCTGCAGAGAAAATGTTCAGAGCATGAATGTTAGAAACAAACCCCAGGGGCCACGTCTCAGACAACTGGATCAGTACCCTATCTATATATACCTCTCCTCCTACGTTGGACCACTAGGCATATGACTGCTATCGCAAGAAATAGAGATACCAGCAGAACAACCATAGCAGCAACTGCATGGAATATGAAAGTGATCATTCCACCCCCATTGAGGATGATTCATACCTGAACCAATCACCGCAGGAGGGATGTCAGACTGTTTCATCTCCACAGGGGGTGGAGCAGATGAAGTGGAGGGTCTCCCTTCACCCGTTGACAAAGTTTCAGGGGTGGACTGAAGGCAATCTGTGGAATATTATTATAGATAAACAATGGTTTTCACAAGCAGGGGTAGCTAGCTAGCTACCTTCTGGAACTAGTATACTGAATGAATTACTGTTGCCGATCACATTTCCACCATAAATTTCACTTTGTACATCACAAACATCCATTGGAGATATGTGAGAGGGAAGGTCATATATTACTGTCCCTGTAGCAGCCTCAGCTCTGGTAACATTGAACGAGACATTGGCCACGTCATAGATAACTATTGTGAACTGTGAGAGACACACATTTGCTGCAAGACGAAACATAACCTAAAACAGTGGAAGAACATAGTGGTCATGGGAGAAACCAATGTCCAAGAGGCCTACCTGAACTCTCAACGGATTACTAGAATCTTCAAACATGGCAGAGAGATGAGCAAAATTTGGAACTGTTTGTGGGGATGAATCATTAATTGTGTGATTGTAAAATTTGTGTGTCCCTACTTTTTACATACAATCCCGAATTTTTGGAAGCATAGTCCTTCCTTTTTTTACTGGGAGGTTGACAGGTATGCTTTCAGTTTCAACATGGTCAATGTCTACATAATTATTCAGAAGTAGGGTTTGTAGAGAACAACCTTTTTTTCTCTAGCTCCTGTCCTTGGCTCCACCACACAATAAGTAGTCCTGTAACATGTCTTGTAGTTAGGGATGTCCTTATGAAATCACACTATGTCCATGACCTGTAAAAGACAATTTGGATAATGAACTACTACATTGTGAGTATGTATAATAGCTGAAAGACAAAACTATTGTGTGGTGGAGCCAAGGACAGGAGCTAGAGAAAAAAGGTTGCCCTCTACGAACCCTACACATTTTCTCTGCAGGTAAACAGGCTCGTCTTGAAAGCAGTAGTGAGGATCCCCCAGCTTCTCCTGGGTATGTGGGCAAGGAGTGCACTTGCCATAAGTAGTCCTGTGACATAATTATCTTGTAGTTAGGGATGTCCTTCTGACATTACCTATGTCCATGGCCTGTCAAAGGCAATTACCACTACATAGTGAGTATTAGGTAACTCTCTTGTAGGTCTGAAAGACAGTGATGTCTGTGCTGGAGCCAAGGACAGGAGCTAGAGAAAAAAGGTTGCCCTCTACGAACCCTACACATTTTCTCTGCAGGTAAACAGGCTCGCTGAATCTTGAAAGCAGTAGTGAGTGAGGATCCCTCCCCAGCTTCTCCTGGTAGCAACGGAGAGTGCACTTGCGGCATAGTAGTCCTGTGACATAATTATCTTGTAGTTAGGGATGTCCTTCTGATTACATTACCTATGTCCATGGCCTGTCAAAGGCAATTACCACTACATAGTGAGTATGTAACTCTCTTGTAGGTCTGAAAGACGTGTGCTGGAGCCACTAGGACAGGAGCTAGAGAAAAGAAGTTGTTCTCTACAAACCCATATGTAGACATTGGCCATGTTACAACTGAACCAGTTAGACAGGTATACATGATCCCATGCAAAAAGATTCTTGCAAGTTTTGTGTCTATGGTGCAGCAACTTGAGCAAGCTGAGGCGCAGCTCCTAATGCTTTCAAGTAGTCATTAGTGCTATGCGACGGGGACAAGTTACACACTTGCTCGGACTAATGTACGTACGCTGGATCGGTGTGGTATTGAGGGCAATCATGGGGGAGAGGTTCATCTGAGAGAGGGCGTTAATTAGAGTCTCCATGGCAATCATGCCTAATACTCTCCTAGTTATGATAGCTACACAATCAATTTTCCAGCAGTGATGAGGCAGCAGTAGGCACATACAGTGATATCTCCATCGACCCTGCTGTGGCTGGTGAGTCCTGGAGAACCCTTCGTACAGAGTTTCATGCCTTTCATTTCATTCAAAGGTCTCTCCCTGGAATCCCACTATGACCTTCTGCTGGCTGTTCTGATGCCCTTGAAAACTCGCTGCTTTGAGCTCGGAATGAACCTTGACCTCTCTGAGAACTTCCCGGACGAGACGGAGACCAACATGGACAGTGTGGAAGAATGTCTGGGTGAAATGCTACAGAACTGGCTCCTGTACCACGACCCCACCATGGAGACTCTAAATAATGCCCTCTCTCGGATGAACCTCTCCCCCATCACCTTCAATACCACCTCCAGCGGTATGTACCTAATACATTCATCCGCACACACATATACACACATGGAGCTGTGTACGTAGTAAAGTTGTTGTTGATTTTGAATGCTTATGTTTTTCTTACCTGTTGTTCTTCCCTCTGCACAGAGTTTGTTTCTGTCCCTGAGTGAGTGGGGGTTAAGGTTCGAGAGGACACAACAGTACTGTAACGGTGAATTACTATCAATCATAGAGTGATATAAAATACTCTGATTTTGTAGATCAGCAAAAGTTGCGGATTGTACTGTACTGTTTGTTATTCCCACAAGTAAAAAAAAGATCTGACAAGTAAAAAAATCCTCGCCACCTTTCATGCTGTTTGTCTGTGATGGTGTTTTCCGCCAAATCCATATAGAAAGCTTTCGGCAGTGTTTTTAGTTGCACAAAAAAACTTATGAATTTCAGGCAATGAGAAACAAATAACAAACTTTTACATTTTTAGTCCAAACTACAAACAAGCACTCTATCTTGAAAGGTTCCGACCTCAACAGGCATTTTCATCAAACCGCTCGTACGCAAACTCCGTATCAAACAGTCCATCCACAATGTACTGGAAGTAAGACCCCTCAATCACAGAGTTCATTGGGTCACGTGACCTCTCGGGGGCCCCCCTGGGAGTTGCCCACGTAGTAGCAGCCGTCATCAGAGAGATCCCAGACGAGGGGGTAGAAGAGAGCAGGGAAGTGGCGGTAGCTGGGGTGGCCTGGCTGGTAGAGCTGTATGTCTGGAGAACTGTCGGAGTCAAGGTCACCCACTGATATGGGGATGTTCCAGAACTGACCTAAGATGGGAAAGGGTGGTGAGAGAGTAGGAGAGTTGGTGAGTGGACAGAGTATGTGGTGCAGTGTAGGCGAGTGACTAGCTAAGCAAATTAGGGGAAAGGAATGAATAGTGAGTTGTAGCAAATAAGGTGAGGAAGGTTCCAAATCGGAGTTGTGAGTGTGTAGGAGCCACAGTAAACAAGATTATAGTAATGTAGTGGGACTGACCGAGGAGACCGTGGGAGGAAGGGCGGAGGGAGGAGCCTCGGTTGACGTCGAAGCGAAGTCTGTTGGACATGCAGGTGACCCACATTACCAGTCCAGGTCGCTGGCAGTTGGGTACCGCCACCCTCCACAGGTTGATCATCACTCGACTCACCCTCACCTGACTAATGGTGACAGACCCATCCACCTCTCTCCCTCCCACCCGCGCCACACACAACTCCAGATCAACCTCCACCTCCACACACCCCTCAGGGCCTCCTGACGAGGCCTTCACTCCTATCTTGCTTATTCTATTTCTCTGTACGTCGGATGGCATGGCGGTGTAGTAGGCATTAGCAGAGACACAGGTATCTGAGATGAGGTTGAAGTAGCGCCCAGCCTCTCCGTGAACTCGTAGCAGAGAGAGTTCCCGTCGCTGCCTGGGATGGCCACTGTGAACTGAGGGTCTGCAACAACCGAGTCGTTCAACCTTGGACCTACAGTTGGAGCTGCAGGGGAGAGGAGAGATACTGTGTCAACTCAATTAGATAGCTTCCTTGGCAAAGGAGAGTCGGGATTAACGTTTTACTTATGTACACCTGTTGACTGTAATGCCATGCCATTCACAGACATCATTGCATATGTCAGCGTAACTCGCAAAGCACAAAAGCAGGACAATCTGAACGTACCTGGTGGAGTAGTTACCTCCAGTGAAACAGTAGGCCCACTACCAATGACGTTTGCTGCAGTCACACTCAAACTGTAGAATATTATGCGGATCCATGTGAGGTGTACCATATATATAGGCTGCAAGAGCTCACTTGTAGGTGGTGGCAGGAGAGAGACCAGTGTGAATGAAAGTCCTTGCATCGGGCCCTGCTACAGCTCCAAGCTCCAATTGGCTGGAGAGATCCCGTATTCCGAGAAAGTAGTTTGTGATTTCGCTGCCTGTTTCAAAAGGAGAGTCGTCACCTCAATACAGGTAGAGGAGGTGGTATTTATGTACCTCCGTCACTGTCAGGAGGAGACCAGGAGATCTCTATGGCAGTTGGACTCAGTGCAACAGCAATTACGTTGATAGGAGCACTTGGAACTGTAGCTACAACTAAACAAAAACTCAGTATGATAGCATGTATATCCATGGGTCAGTCACACTCACTGGTGACGTTGAAGTCTACAGTGTCTGTGGTCTGTTGTCCAGCCAGGTCTCGCGATATGATGGTGAGAGTGTGCTGTCCCACACCAACGTTAGCCCTGGCTGCCAGCACGGCAATGTCCAGGGGTTGTAAGCAATCAAAGAAACTGCCTCCGCCAATGGAGCAGCTCTGGGCGGCTATCAGTGTCATGCTGGTGCACTCTATGACAGAGTCCACCACAGAGCACTCGACTTCAAACAGAGGGATCCTGGTGAAGGTGAAGACCTCCTGGCCCCGCTGACCAAAGATATCAGTGATGATGACAGTGAGGGTGTGCTCTCCCGGAGGGAGGTCTGAGATCCGGAGCTGGTCAGACAATTCACCTGCAGCAAATGAACACAGTCAGTCACTCTACCACACCATTGCTAAATAGTCTACTTCCACTTCAGTAACAATTACACTGACGTTGTTAATGCTAGGTTCTTTTATCATGCTGCAGTTGACTCAACTCACAGTCAGTAGGAGTGTCATCATTAATGAAGCAAGAGACACTGCTGATGTTGTTGTTGGCCTCACACACATACAGGAACGTCAGCCCATCCAGAAGAGAGTCACAAGTAATGTCAATAGCTGGAGCTGCACGCAAGCAGAGACAGTTTACCACTCCAGCTATAAGTAATACCAGAGACGTACGTGGTACATTGAAGGTGATCTGTCCAAGAGGGATTAGTGGCTCAGCTCCACCTGCTCTGCCCACTACCTTCACTACATGTCTCCCTACTGCAGCCTGTGGTACCACCACTGACTCAGAGACCACGTTGGCACCTGCAAGTAAGGTAACAGTAAATTCATGTATGATAAACGACTAGTGAAATTTATTCTACTGTTAGACTCTGTAAAAACTAGGCCGGGTGTCTGAGCCTATGACAAATGATACTCTTTCTACACAATAAGAGCATTTCTCACAGTCAAAAGAGATGGTATCGTCTAAGAGACACTCAATGTTCATGACATCAGGAGGGACGGGCCCCGCACAACCAAACACTGCCACTGAATCCACAATTTGTCCAGTCACATCGCACGTCAGTGGACCTACACAGCAACACAGAAGAAATGCCAGTGAAAAACACTCCATCTAAGCCCTTGAGAAACTAAGAGTGGAGTAGTTATTAACATACGATCGTCGTCCTCGATGTTTATCAACACGAGTGAGTTGGTGACAGTGATGCTGTTTCGATCTCGTGGATCCAGCTCTTCTACTGCTACCTCCAGGAAGAGGACAAACCCTTCTGTAAACTCTGCCTCTGTATCATCCAACACAACAGGGAACGGACGGGGACAAAGGTCAAAGAAATCTCGTCTGGAAGTACAAAAGACTGGGCGGAGGAGTTGAAGTCGTCATTGGCTGCGGCGGGATCGGGTAGGTCATCAGGGAGATCAGGGGCTTCCTGTCCAATGGGAGAGTTGAAACTGCCTCTGAAGGACTCGTACTGGCCGAAAGTGAAGGCTCGCACAATGACAGGGATGGGACCAAATGAAGAGCCTTGCCGGGAGATGATCAATAGAGTTTCTGAACTACTATCCTCTTCAGCAGTAGCGACATCAGCATCAAACGATATCTCAAACTCTGAGGGAACTTTAAGGGGCACATAGTCACAATCTTACAGTGACTATAGTACATACCTGGAGGTAGTGTTGGAGCTGCGTTTAGAAACAAAAATAAGTTAGCTGATAGCAACAAGTGGGATCACTTACGTTCAGTCAACTGGAATTCAAAAACAATGTCCAGAAACTGTCCAAACTCATCCACCACAGTAACAACTAGAGTGTGGTTTTCCGTGCCAAATCTCTCAAAGTCTACTATGACAGGGAAAAAACAACCCTCCGCCTCTCCTCCATCAAACGAGCATGTGATTGACGTTAGGTTGTTACTGAATGTACAGTCGAACCTCTGACGACCAGTTACGCCAAATGCTCCGCACTCTCCTTCAAGTTCTGCAAACACCATAACACGACATAATATTATTTCTCTGGAAAGTTAAAGGATGCATATACCTGTAATTGGTGGCAGAACTGTTGGTGAAAAGTAATGACAAAGTAATTTTTCTGCTTGCAATAATAAAGAGAGCTCCTTACCTTCTATTAGAGAGAATTCAAATACCAACTCTAAAGTTTGTCCAAACTCGTCCACCACAGTCACCACTAGAGTGTGGTTGTCTGTCCCAAATCTGCCGATCCCTACTTCCAGAGGGAATGCACAAGCCTCGCCAGGTCCTCCGTCAAATGAGCACGTCACTGACTCCAGCTGATTAGTGAACAGACACCCAAATGTCTGTCTTCCAGGAACGGCAGAGAATTGACACTCTGATTCAAGAGCTGAATACATAGAACTCATAGAACTCCTTCATTTAACTCTGTCAGAAACATCTTACCTGGTGGAGGTCGAGGAGTTTGCGCTGCAATATGTTACAAAAATATTTCAGATATTTCTTTGAAACTTTGAATGTCTTACGTGCAATAAGACTGAAGTTGAATGAGACAACCTCAGATCGTCCAAACACATCAACCACAGTCACCACTAGAGTGTGGCTGTCTGTCCCAAATCTGCCGATCCCTACTTCCAGAGGGAATGTACAAGCCTCGCCAGGTCCTCCGTCAAATGAGCAAGTGATACTTGCTATGGGAGCAGTTACTCCACAGGCAAATTCCTGTCTACCAGGTACAGCAGAAATACTACATACCACTTCTAGCTCTGTGGAGACAAAATTGGGCTGCTTCAAATCACAGTAAAATAAGACACATCATACGGAACGCACGGGATGAGTAACATGTGTGAGTTACACACACTCACTTACCTGGACAGGCTATCTCTGTACACCCTACCATACCATCACTACAAGTACTGGAGGAAAGAAAAGAGCCAATGACTTGTGTGCAGGGAGAAATGCAGTGTGCCTGTACCAAGTGTTGCAGCCATCAGCAGCTGGGAAAGATGCTCCATTTTCATACACTATTCCCTCATATAAACAGCCTCCTAAAGTGGTAAATAAAAGCGCTTACTGCACATACAATGTTGAGAGTTAATTGCTCAATATGCCTTTCACAAACTTCATTGCATGGCATAAAGCATTTGGATAAAACCACAAAAGACATCAACATTGAACGAAATCACAAACTGAGGGAACTTCAAGGGGCACATGGTCACAATAAAGTAACATTTCTAATTCAACCACATTTACCAGGAACAGATCTTACCTGGTGGTGGTGTTGGAGAAGGTGATGGAGTAACTGGTGGAGCCGCTGCAAATGAGGTGGAAATTCAACTTTTGATGTGAGGAGCTCAGAGTCTTACGTTCAACGAGAGTGAAGTCCAACGAGACACTCGTAGACTGTCCAAACACATCCACCAGAGTCACCACTAGAGTGTGGCTGTCTGTGCCAAATCGGTCGAACTCTGCTACCACAGGGAAAGAGCAGATCTCTGCTACTCCTCCATCAAATGAGCACATGATACTAGCAATAGGATTGCTGGCATCGCAGAAAAACCGCTGGCGACCAGGAACAGCATCTGTACCACAAACCACTCGCAGGTCTGCAGGAGGGGAATACATAGAGATGACATGCATTATTACTATAGAGAGCAAGTTTTTCAACTCACCTGGTGCAGTGAGACGGAAGCCAAGAGAGATGCTAGAAGTCTGTCCAAACTCATCAGTGGCAGTCAACACCACTGTGTGGTTGTCTGTTCCAAACCTGCCAATGTCCACTATCAGAGGAAGGGTGCAATTCTCTGCCTCTCCTCCGTCAAATGAGCACGTCACTGACACCACGTCATTAGTGAATGTACAGTCAAACCTCTGACGACCAGCAACACCACTTGTTCCACAGACTCCCTCAAATACTGTTCAAGAGGAACATCTCATAGAACTCCTTCATTTAACTCTGTCAGAAACATCTTACCTGGCGGTGGTCGAGGTGTTTGCGCTGCAATATGTCACAAATATTTCAGACATTTGTTTGAAACTTTGAATGTCTTACGTGCAATAAGACTGAAGTTAAATGAGACAACCTCAGATCGTCCAAACACATCAACCACAGTCACCACTAGAGTGTGGCTGTCTGTCCCAAATCTGCCGATCCCTACTTCCAGAGGGAATGTACAAGCCTCGCCAGGTCCACCGTCAAATGAGCATGTCACTGACTCCAGCTGATTAGTGAACAGACACCCAAATGTCTGTCTTCCAGGAACAGCAGAGAATTGACACTCTGATTCAAGAGCTGGATATTAACACAAATTCAAACGGCTAAACCACATAATGCACACCATACTGTAGGATTCGGATGGTATATACACTCACCTGGAACACAGAATATCTCTGTACAACTGATCTGGCCATTGAAACAAAAGCTGAGAGAGACAGAATTCATTGAGTACCGTGGTCATGCATTATAATGTTGTGTACCATGTGTTGCATCCGTCGGGAGCTGGGAAGGAAGTTCCATTTTCATAAAACTCTCCATTGAAATCACAAGAACCTGCACCGTGACGAAGATAAATACTCTTTTTTGTTCTTTTTTTTTTCTTTTCCTTATACACAGAGTATTAGTCCCACCGACCTGGAGATCTATAGAAGACAGGTAGACTGAAGTCAACGTTCTGCATGAATACGTCAGTGAAAAAAACACTAATGTTGTAATCTCCAGTCGGCAGGTTGAAAGCACTGATATCAAACGCCCCCCTGCAATCGAGGGCAATCCCGTCGTTGACGTTACAGAACTGGAACAGTATTCTGTTGTTGCTTGTGCAGATGAGGATATTCTGGGCAATTTGGCACATCACCATTAGTGCAGGACCTGCAGGTAATGTAGTGCAGAGAATACGCAGCATACATACTTAACCCACACAGCCCAACTAGTCATTCCACTTTGGAGTAATAGTTTGTCTGACCATTCTAACTGAGATGGGCACATTTGTTTGAGGTCGTTCTAATTTGCCTAAACTCCTGCCAAAGTGGTAAATGTTGCTCTATAATTGAGCAAGCTGGTCTTGAATAATCAACTACTGCAATGACAGGGTCCCTTCCCTCACCGGCCTCCATGATGTTGGCATTGACAGTGACGATGGTGTTGGTCCCTCCCTCCCCAGAGATGATGAGACCAATCTTGTGCTGACCAACTCCGAGTCCAGAGATCATCAGTGGCAGAGAGCCTGGGGGTCACCAATATAATTATTACCAACTCAACTTCATAATGAAGGACCAAGAGCTAAGTATTATAAGTGGTGCTGCACTCTCATGGGTCTCTAGTTTTGACATTTCAGTTGCGTGTGCTGATGCACACACACAATGATAAGTGTTACTAGGAAGTTAAACTATGACCATAGAGACGTGCATGTGTTTCAGGGCCTACCAGTAATGACAACTCCTCCGTTGACAGTGTACTCTAGTCCAGTGATGGTCTGTCCGGCTACCAGAGTGGAGCAGAAGATGGTCAGAACGTCATTGGCTCTGTCATAGCTGGTATTACACTCCACTCCCAGCTGCACAGCTGTAATCATCATACAAATAGCTACAGCTGATCCTAATCCCCTTATTGGATCGCCTCTTCAGCGGACCCTTCATTATAACATGCTATGCAAGTTGTGCAGTAGGTAACTGTGCATCCAAACAATTAGGGGAAATAATAAGACTAGTTGTATGTGGCTTTTACTTAATTCTTGCCTTTTCTTGTCCATACATACAAAATGGAGACAACTCACGTGGTGCCGGGGTGGTGGGAGGCTCGGTCTGACGAGACACTAAACAACAAAAATTCGTGTCACACAAACACATTTTTGGCTAGTGGCAGAGTTTACCTCTGAATGTTGCCCTGGAGGAAAACCCTCCACTCCCGACCATGAACACAACTATCTCGTTCTCTGTCTCGCTGAGAAACTCCACTCCAATACTGAGTGGGAACCCAGCTGTGAAGAGAAAACTACGTAGCTAGAGCCCTGTTTACGAGGACAAATTTAATCAGTTGAGACCCTTTACCTGTAAACCGGTTTTGCCTAAATCAGTTTACGAAGCGCTTTAGAGTGTCAGTGCAACGAGGCTTACACATTACTTGTAGAAAGGATCCCTGTTCTTAGTCTAACGAGGGGCTCTAAATGGTCCTACATACCAGCTCCCCTGTCGATTCCATTAATGGTGTAGGTTGCAGCCGCTATTGATTGACTGTCACTGGATGTGTTACAGAAGACAATGAAGAAAGTCCTCTCTTCGTTCAATTCTCCAAAACACCTCGGTGAGAACCCAAAACCTGTAGTGATAATGTGAGACTACCTGTGTACACCACATAGTCATCAGTCGTGGGAACCAGAGGCTCCCTTAGTTTCATATATATATATAAATAGATGGTGAGTTTTACCTACTCCTGCAGTGAAGACTACCCTCGCAAGAGACCCTCCACTTCCCTCAATTAACAGAACTATCTCATTCTGAGTCTGGTTTAGAAACTCCGCTCCGATACCAAAAGGTAACCCAGCTGTGAAAAAAACAATCCTCATGCATCACTAGTTTTACTCACCAGAGTTTTACTGGAGACGTAGCTATCTGGATTTAGTCATCCAGACATATTTTAGCTGCGGCTCAAGTAAAACTCAAGTCGAACATACCAGCAGTGCCCATGTCGACTCCATTAACTGAGTAAGTGAGGCCCGCTATTGATTGACTGTCACTGGATGTGTTACAGAAGACAATAAAGTAAGTTCTCTCCGCGTTCAGTCCTCCAAAACAACTCGGGGAGAATCCAAGAGCTGAAACGATTCATGTAGAGCTATGCAATTACCAACTACTCTCTAACAGCAACTCACGGGGTTCGGGGGTAATTGTACCTTAAAAAATCGCAATGAATCAATTTTTTTTCAAAAAGCAAGCAGAGAAATTACCTAGACCAACTGTTAAATTGGCAGTGGCTGTAGCCCCATTAGTTCCCTCGAGATTGATTATTATCACATTTGTCCCTGCCATTAGTGACGAAATAGATATCTCCAGTGGGAAGGAGGCTGAACAGAGAAAGAGGACAGTTGAGTCATTATCATAGCAAGATGTCTTTCGTACCTGAGCCCCTGTCCACTCCATTGACGGAGTATCTTGCTTGTGCAATGGCCTGAGTACCCGAGGGGGCAGCACAATTGACAATGTATGCTGTGTCGTCGTCAGAACGAACTACACCACACTGAGGATTAAATGGCAGTGCTGGATTGACAACAAACATTGGGTTAGGGTTGAAGAGTGACTGAAACGTGATATCAAAACAACTCACTTGGACTTGGTGTTGGAGGTGGGACAGTGTCTTTGGGAGCAGGCAGCAAAAAAATCAGTGAATGCAATAATATTGATGGCGCAATCACTTCTTACCGAGATTGAGAGTGAATCTGAAGATAGTTGAGGACCCCTCGCTGCCCACAATAGTTAGTAGTATTTCATTTTCTCCAACCATCAGTGTTGACAGATGTATCACTAGTGGTAAAGTAGCTGTACGTGGAGAAGAGGGTCCAATGTAAGTATTCTCAGTAGCAGCAACTCTTACCTGCCCGCACATCATCTCCATTGACAGAGAAGGTAGCCTCTGAAATGCCTTGTGTACCAAGTGGAGTCGTGCAGGTTACGGTGAATTCTGCACTTGCAGCATTCACTGCCCCATTGCAGTCTGGGTTAAAAGGCTGGACTGTTGGCTGGACTGTTGGGGAAACAGAACCTGCACAGGGGAAAACAGGCCGTGTGAAATATTCTTGCAGTAGTGCAGGCATACCCAGCCGAACAAGGAATGTTGCAGTAACACTGGAGCCTTGAGTCCCCACAAGGTTGACAAGTATCGTATTATTTCCCTCCATCAGCGTTGAAAGAGAGATATCCAGTGGAAATGTAGCTGTCAGAGATAATGGTGGTTTAAATGTGGTACACGTGCAGATGTTTCTTTTTCTATACCTGAGCCCATGTCAACACCATTGACAGAATAGGTTGCACTTGCAATTGGCTGAGTTCCATCCGAAGCAGCACAGGAGATGGTGTATAATGTTCTATCAGCATTGAAGTCTCCACTACATTGCGGCCGGAAAGCTAAAAAATATATACATGAGAGAATATGTTGTACTCCTGTCTTTATTGGCTCATCATTTTTGTGCTTGTGAGTGAATGGAAATGAGTGCATTAAAGTTTTCATCCGTATCTCATGCCTTTTAACAGTTCTGTGTTTTTCAGTGGACAGGGACAGTGAAGCAGTGCAAACAAGACTCTCAAATAGCTATGTTAAGAGTGTATAGAGAGGAAAAGGAAGAGTAATCCTAAAAATTTTTTGCACCACAGACAGTGTGTGCAGCATCTTCCCATCTGACGCACTAAGTATCAAATGTCTCTCACGATCATCAATGATCATCAATACTCCATAGTTACTCCATTTCTCTACTTGCCATGTGGGACACCTAGTAGTGGTTTCACCCACAAGCCTTTGACTCTGTGTAGTCAGGTAGGCCAGCATAGGTTCTCCTAGGTCTTCTACCCTTTACACTATGAGTTGTAACCAGCAAACACAACACCAAAAGATGTGGTGGATCCTTAATTTCTTCACTGCAATGCAGACAGTTTTATCTTTGTTAACTCATTTATACAGTGTGGGATATCCAGCACACTTGCTCACAGAGTTCACACACCAACTGTCCTTCTCATCTTTGAGTGCAACCACAACATTACAACTAGCTGTGTGAGGGAGGAAGGGACACCAGATGTCCCCCTACTGCCCTGGTTTGTGCATCACATGTGAAGAATGCGGCGTTTACTCAGGTGAGTTAACCCCAAGGCTGGCAACTTGAGGGTTTCATCTGGTCCTCTCTCCCCCCTTGATGTGTGGGATCTACTATGAGAACTCAGTCCAGGAATGCAGAGACCCCACTGCCACACTATACCACCTGTTGTGGAACCTAAAATTAGTCTACAGGTGGACTGTGAATAGACCTGTCTAGCCAGCAGCAAGGAAGTCGGGGAGTTGATTGCTCATCCCACATTGTAAGTATTTGGACTTGCTGGAAGATAGGTTACAGATGACACATCAAGTAGCTAGTTAGCCAATACATTGCTGAGTGCAGAGGCTGAATTTGGTTTGCACCAGTGGTGACTAATTTTTGTGGGCAATTCGCGCATTTTTCGATCAACTAGTAGTAAATCTTGGTCCAACCACAACAACAGACAATAACTACTTGCAAAATAACGTCGAACCGCGCTCTCAACCACGCAACTTTTCACGACAAACACCTCATTAGCTAGTTTGTCTGCAGACTTAGTATGCGTGCCCCATAGCAAGCGTATGACAATAGCAGCAAATACTGATAGCTATAGCTATGCATACCCTGTCCAGTTCCTGCATCGACACTGGAAAACAGCGAGAGCAGAGCGAGCAGGACGATCATCGTCCCTGGTTGGTCAGCCATGCCTAGCCTGCAGTCTGCAGATAAGTGTGCGCGCGCGAGAAATTTTATAGGAAATTATTGCGCATGCGCATAGCAACACGATTTCGCGCGCGCATTTGTGACTCTTCATCAGGGTCATACAAGATTTCCTTCTGTGTATAGGTGAGTGGGTTTTTATGGGCATATATATATATATAAGTGAGTGTGTGTTTAGGTATATACAAGGGCGCCACACCTTAGCTATTTTCTTGACTGTGTCTAACACCGTATGCCATCTCCTTAACCCCAGCGCGCATGCGCAGCGAGGGTTACAGTACTTGGTCTGTGTGTCTCTGTCTTCACAGATATTAGGCTACGATGAAAAGTAAAAGGGCAATTTTTCTGAAACGGCTGTGTTTAACCATAATGGCTACACTTACACATGGCTGGAACGACTGCGTATACAAGTCATTCACACTTTGTGAAAGTCTAGCTAGGAACCACACACTCATTGTTCGGTCAGCATTATTCCTATGCAACCTTGATATTTGGGGTTTTCAACTATTTCCATCCAGGCAAGCATATACAAAATGTGCAGCCTGTAAGAGACTAAAGTCCTGTCTATCTACCACACACAAATCAAAGTCAGCCCGGGTAGTATGCGCGTCAAAGAGAGGACTAGAGCCCAGGAACAGTGAATCTCTTGGTCCAGACTCTGTATTTGCGACCACAGGTAGTGGGGCGGATCCTCACGTGGTACCTGGCCCCAGGAACAAGGTTTGTTAGTGCCAGGGGACTCGTACCTGGGTAGATAGATTGGAAATTCTTTTCTTATTTCGAATAAGCTCTCGGATTTGTTCCCTATACTCACATGGCTGAGGTTTTTTTCTGTTAACCGAGCACTCAAAACGACCGTTGTTGCTGGCACTGGCAGCTCCAGTCCCAGTGAAATCCACAGAGAAAGTCGTCCCAGACACACTCCAGCCTCTGTTGGTGAGGTACATGATGCAGTAGAGGTCGTCGGGGTCAGTACTGTGGACCCAGAGTCTGCTGCGGATGACAGCCTTGTCTTCTCGTAGTGGGTCGTAGGCTATCACTCTCAGAGTAAAGTCTCCTGTTGGGATCCCTGTTCTCCTGTAGGATCCATTGGAACCTGAGTAAAGTGATTGGGAAAGTATGCTGTTTGAGGCAAGAAATAGCTTAAAGACCAGCTTCTAATATAAGCCTTGTGCATTAATTCTCACAGTCTTCCCTGAACTGAGGTTCATCCAGGTGGGTGAGATGACAGTAGAACTCTAGTCCTGGTCTGTCAGCTACAAACTCTGCATACACTGTCCCTCCCTCCAGCAGTGGGGTGTTGTTTATGAAGTAGAGGTCGATGTCTGAGTATATGAAGGTTGTTCAATGGAAGGAAGGCTCAAAGAGTTGAAGAGTAGTGTACCTGGTACAGTGAAGGTAGCTTCTCCAACAGCCACAATCTCTCCAGTGGTAGTATTCCCTGAGATGATTAGGACATTGTGTCTCCCACTTGACGATGAGACGGTGTTGATAGTAACTGGTAGAGTAGAGCCTGGAAGACAAACACATAACAAACGCTTGGTAAGAGTTCGGTTAAACTGGGTGTGGCTGAGTTACAGTTAGTGAAGATATCATCATAGCGACACTGGAGAGTGGAGATTATGATGTTGGATGGAACATCTCCATCACAGCTGACCGTCAGACTCTGCATTTTATTTCCAGTCAAATGGCACGTCAGTGGAACTGTGAGAAAATGAATCGAAGTGAAACCAGATTTTGAATGATATGCTGCGCACGGTTGTTTTTTCTGATGGTAACCAGGACGACGGGGTTGACTATTTGCAGTCTGTCGCGGTCACTCTTGTGAAGACTGTCTCTGTCAACCTTGAGGTAGAAGACGAATCCCTCAGTGAACTCTGGCTCTCCATCTGCTGCAGCCAGCCCTCTGCCTGACACCACAAACGGAGGTTGTTGCACAAGACCAGATGGAAATGATGAGCTCCTCTCACTGCCATCGAAATCATCAGCTGTTGACAGATTGCAGACGACAAATAAAACTTGTCACCCTAGCTACGGAGACCAAATTTCCCATGGTCATACCGGATGCAGGAGTGATGGGGTGTAGAGGAAACAGTGTGTCCAAGTTCTGCTCTTCCTCCACACTGGTATCTTCCACCTCACTGGTGTACTCAGAGTAGGTCAGTGGTATCAGAGAGAAGCTGACTTCACCAAACGAGTAGCCAGTTTTGGTCACCTCAATGTTACCCGAGGCACTACCATCTTCACCCACAATTATTGATGTTGGGTTCACCATCAGTATGAGCTCTGCAAAACAAAAACATCTCTACTTTGTTTTCCATGTAGCTAATCTCCAATGTGACACAAGACATTCCAATGCACCACCGCAAACAATCAACTTGAAATTCCCCTACCCAACAGCTGTTGCCACACTTTACCTGGTGCACTCTTCCCTTCAAAGGTGTATGTGAAAGTGCTGGTTGAGCCTCCAGAGTCCGCTGCTACGATGCGAAGTACATGTTGTCCCAGTGAGAAAGTAAAACGGTCAATAGCCAGCGGAAGATTACCTGAAGGAGGAATTGAGGACTCAAAGATTTCTTTTTGCCGAACTTCACTCACAGTTTTCTAGTGGTCCGTTGTCATAGGAACAAGAGAAGCTGATTGTCCCAACAGCCCCAGAGTAGGTACATTCGAAAGACTCGTCCACTATCTCCTGGCAGTCCAGAACAAATGGCTCCACTGGACCTGAGAGCAGATTCTCGGTTCTGAAGGTTTTGTTGAAATGTAAGTCTTACCATCATTGTCAGTGATTGTGACCAGGACGGCTCTGGATCCAGCCTGGACGTCAAAGTTGTCACTGGGATTGTTGTCCTCGTTAATCTCCAGGTAGAGGATGAGCCCTTCGTTATCCTCAACCTCACTGTCATCCCTAATGACGCCGCTCAGATTGTATGCCAGAGTCCCTGAAAGGTTACTATCACTCTCTCCAAACTCGTACGTGACTCTTCCAGTCGACAAAATATCATCTGTGTTAGATTGTAATCACACAGCCACAAAATTATGCCCTGTGCTGCAAAACTTTACCTCTGTTGGCTGCGGCAGTTGGGACGGTTTGTCTGGCAAAGACGGCACCCACTGACATCCCAGTGATGGTCTCAAACTCTTGGTAGGTGAGGGGGACTAGAGCAAGTGGAACACATCGAAAAACGACCCCGATATCTGAAAAGAGACGATGGAGCCAGTTGCATCTGCGCTGCTACCGACGTCCTCAGATGTCACGAAATCAGTGGGTAAGCTGATGGAGATGGCTGGACGTGACAGAGCTGTATGGGAGAGAGAGAGAGTGAATAAGAGTTCAGAATTTGGGATGAGGTGACTCACGTCGCGACAAGCGGAATTTAAAGTAGCGTTTGACTCTCTGTCCAAAGCTGTCGATGACTGTCACGTTGACGGTGTGGAGAACAAAGCCAAACTCGCCAAATGTGAAAACCAGCGGGAATGAGCACGGTCGAAGGTCCACTCCATCAAACAGACAAGTGATGGTGACGTTGGGGTTTGAGGCATTGCAATGTATGGTGACTCTGCCAGAGACAGCAGAGGGACCTGTACACTCCACAGTCAGTGCTGGAGTTAGTAAAACATAATAGAAATAATGAACAACTAAGAGGATACAAAACCTACGTTCCAGGCATGAACGAAGTGTACAGCCAATAATCCCTCCTGCTGTGCATGTGCTATAAAAAAATTATGTTTTTTCGAAATTCAATGGACAAAGATATCAGCCAACAGACCATGTGTTGCAGCCATCTCCTTGAGGAAAGAATTGCCCCACAGAATATATTGTACCATCGTATTGACACTCTGCAACTACAACGGAACACGCGAATGTGAACTCACTGGCAGTATGTCAAAGACTGGGCAGCTAGGTGTTAGTACCTGGTTGTGAAGGTAGGAGAATGGAAAAGGTGGTTACGCTGATGAGCTCGTTGTTTGATCTGAACAGTCTCAGTACCACGGTATTCACCGCAGCTCTGTTCAGGTCTGGGTTGCTAACATCAATGGTGATAGGGAATGCAGTCCCTAACCAGAACAGAGCAGCTAGTCATGATGTTGTACTGGGCTACCAGACTTGTACCTGTAACTGTCCTTATGTTATTGATGGTGTACTCGTATCTGACCACATCCTGGGTACCTCCAGTACAATTGAATTCTATCTGGTCATTGGCAATGGTATAGCCACAGACGACTGCAGGAAGAGAGATTACAGCTGACACATTGCACATTACCGGGAGCTGAGACCTGGTTCTATGTTGAAGGTGGTTGTAGTGATGAGGGTGTTGTCAGATCTGAACAGTCTCAGGATGACTGTGTTGGTCTGTGACTGGGACAGCTGACTGGTGCTGATGGTGATTGGGAACCCGGACACTGGTGTAATGGAAACCAAGGCTCTCTAGTGGCCTCTGAAAGGTTCAAATGGACTACTTACCAGTGAAAGTTTGCCTATTGATAATGTACTCGATCCTGGACAACTGATCAAGACCACCAGTACACCCTAGTGTCACCTGTCCATTCTCAACTCTGTAGCTACACCCAACTGTCAGAGAGAAAGGAAATGAAAGCATTGGATGATTCTTCGAAGCTCGCTGCAAAACGTACACCTAGCTCCTGCTATTCTTACTGTAGGTGATTTGTTGCTCAGCCAATACAGTTCCATCTAGTCTCCTCAGAATGAGCATAATACTCTGACCACTGGTCATGTCTCCAAGACTAATCCTGATGGGTGCCCCTACTCCAGTTGTACCTTAATTAATATAGAACAGAGAGTTCATTAGAGGACTAAAGACTGCTATGGTTATACACACCAGTGAAAACACCAACTCTTCCCTCAATGGTGTACTCAAACAGTGCCTGAATCTCAGTGTCTCCAGACAGACACCGAATGACAATCTCATTCCTCTCACGATCCACAAAGTAGGAACAGAAAACTGAAACCAAGATGAATTTGTAACACAGCCTAGCATACATAGATATTACAACACTGACCAGGTCTCATGATGGTAAGGTTGGGGAGTGTTACTACTGTGCCTCGACTGCCAGTAATAGTGATCCTGATAATGTTGGTCTGTCGGTTCAGCAAAGATGTGTCGATTGTGAACGTTGTGACCGTCACTAGAATTAAAAACGCATGAGTAGCTTGCTGGCTCATACTTTAAGAGACTCTCTTACCATTTGTGACTGGCTGTTGGTCGTTGACCATGTACCTCAGACTCTCAATGTTCTGATTTCCTCCAGTTTTATTACAGGTCACTTCCAGGACCGTCCCATCCTCCAGAAACATTCCACCACATCTTGCAGAGATGCTTACTGTTCATAAAGAACAGAAAAACAAGGCAACAAGCAATAAAATAAACCTGGGACTACTTCAAATGAACCAGTCCTTAAGTATTGTGGTTTTACCTCGAATTCTTACTGGGAGGTTAATTGTGGCCTGGGTCCCTTGACTGCCATTTATGACCAAAGAAATATTGTTCCCTTGTCCTAGTTTTAGCTCAGGGTCATCGATGGAAATTCTAAACTCTAGATTGCTTGGGTCAGTCACTGGATGAAAGAGAAAACTCAATCTATTATTATGATCAGATATCATGTGTAGCTAACTAGCATACCTTGGAGTGCTCCCTTGTCAACGCCATTGATGGCATATGTCACTCCAGCAATTGTCTGGCTGGATTCACGCAGCACGCAGGATATCTCCACGTATTCACTATCACTCGTAGTTTTTGCACTGCAAATGACATTGAAATTCCTCAGAAGAATCTCCAATTCTACAGTCGCTCTTCTAGCTGAGGTGAACACTATTTTCACAGTGTTTTCTCCCAAATTGAGATCTTCTTTGCCAATCACTATGGGGAAGTCACCTCCAGTCCCTGTCAAACCAAGCTCATTAAAACACATGCAGTTTCTGTGGGACAATAGCTCACTAGTGCCTTGGAACACTCCGTTGATGGTATAGTTGTATGAAACAATAGTGTCACTGCCTTCAGCTTCCGTGCAAGTGATGCGATAAAGACCTCCATCGTTGGTAGTGTTGCAGCCAACCCTGAACACTGTCTGAGCACGGGCCAGGGAAAGCAGCAGCCCCAGGAACAGTGCTGCCGTCAATAGTCGCATGATGACGTACGTTGATCCCCTCCGATCGCGGACTATCTACAGTTCTCGGCAAAGAATGTTTTAGTCGGAGATCCGAGTGTTATAGACTCAGCTACAACAGGTCGGACAGTAAATCTGTGGCATGGCGTTGGGAAATTTTTATCGGAAGCCCTGACTGCGAACTCGCGCCATCTGTTTTGTACATCGCTTGTACAGATGTTTGCCAAACGGACTCGATTTGAGGTTTAGCGATACCAGAGGCTTGCTAGCTAATAACGGGCGGCTTTTCAGCAAATTTCTTGGCGTAAAAACATCCATTGGTTTCTATGGTCTCGACGGCGTAATACGCATGCGCATAAATCACGCAGCGATCGCGCTCCTCGGCGCGCGTACGTGCAGCAAGCTCGCACTGACCCAATTGTGATTAGTACACATTTTACGTAACTCGTTCTTTCATAATACAAAATATAAGCCTGAAAGAGTCCTCTTAGCTATCTACAATACAAAATATAACAGTCAGTAGTAGGAGTGTGGAAGAGAGGACTACGGCCCAGGAACAGTGAATCTTTTGGTCCAGACTCTGTACTTGCTGCCACAGGTAGTGGGGCGGATCCTCACGTGGTACCTGGCCCCAGGAACAAGGTTTGTCAGTACCAGGGGACTCGTGCCTGGGGAGAAGAGAAGATGGATTGAAAATTCTTTTCCTAAACTGCCTTTCCCCCCTTGAATAAGCGAGCTCTCAGATTTGATTCCTAAGCTTCTTTCTCCCTATACTCACATGGCTGAGGCTCCCTTCTGTTAACCGAGCACTCAAAACGACCGTTGTTGCTGGCACTGGCAGCTCCAGTCCCAGTGAAATCCACAGAGAAAGTCGTCCCAGACACACTCCAGCCTCTGTTGAGGAGGTACATGATGCAGTAGAGGTCGTCGGGGTCAGTACTGTGGACCCAGAGTCTGCTGCGGATGACAGCCTTGTCTTCTCGTAGTGGGTCGTAGGCTATCACTCTCAGAGTAAAGTCTCCTGTTGGGATCCCTGTTCTCCTGTAGGATCCATTGGAACCTGAGTAAAGTGATTGGGAAAGTATGCTGTTTGAGGCAAGAAATAGCTTAAAAACCAGCAAGGAAACCAGCTTCTAATATAAGCCTCGGGTAACATTGTGTGTTAATTCTCACAGTCTTCCCTGAACTGAGGTTCGTCCAGGTGGGTGAGATGACAGTAGAACTCTAGTCCTGGTCTGTCAGCTACAAACTCTGCATACACTGTCCCTCCCTCCAGCAGTGGGGTGTTGTTTGTGAAGTAGAGGTCGATGTCTGAGTATATGAAGGTTGTTCAATGGAAGGAAGGCTCAAAGAGTTGAAGAGTAGTGTACCTGGTACAGTGAAGGTAGCTTCTCCAACAGCCACAATCTCTCCAGTGGTAGCATTCCCTGAGATGATGACATTGTGTCTCCCACTTGACGATGAGACGGTGTTGATAGTAACTGGTAGAGTGGAGCCTGGAAAACAGACACAAAACAAACATTTAGTAAGAGTTCGGTTAAACTGTGTGTGGCTGAGTTACAGTTAGTCAAGATATCATCATAGCGGCACTGGAGAGTGGAGATTATGATGTTGGATGGAACATCTCCATTACAGCTGACCGTCAGACTCTGCAGTGGATTTCCAGTCAACTGGCACGTCAGTGGAACTGTGAGAAAATGAATCCCATGATGAAGAGTGTTGAGTACAGTGTGTTAGCTCTTTGCTGCTCACGGTTGTTGTTTCTGATGGTAACCAGGACGACGGGGTTGACTATTTGCAGTCTGTCGCGGTCACTCTCGTGAAGACTGTCTCTGTCAACCTTGAGGTAGAAGACGAATCCCTCAGTGAACTCTGGCTCGCCATCTGCTGCAGCCAGCCCTCTGCCTGACACCACAAACGGAGGTTGTTGCACAAGACCAGATGGAAATGATGAGCTCCTCTCACTGCCATCGAAATCATCAGCTGTTGACAGATTGCAGACGACAAATAAAACTTGTCACCCTAGCTACAGAGACCAAATTTCCCATGGTCATACCGGATGCAGGAGTGATGGGGTGTAGAGGAAACAGTGTGTCCAAGTTCTGCTCTTCCTCCACACTGGTATCTTCCACCTCACTGGTGTACTCAGAGTAGGTCAGTGGTATCAGAGAGAAGCTGACTTCACCAAACGAGTAGCCAGTTTTGGTCACCTCAATGTTACCCGAGGCACTACCGTCTTCACCCACAATTATTGATGTTGGGTTCACCGTCAGTATGAGCTCTGCAAAATAAGACACCAAAACACTACTTTACTTCCCCTATACACTTTCCTATGCTACACAAAAACATGCCCGATGTGCTTTATTACATTATGCAGCAAACAATCCAACCCTTCAAAGTCCAGCTGTTTCCACACATTACCTGGTGCACTCCTTCCTTCAAAGGTGTATGTGAAAGTGCTGGTTGAGCCTCCAGAGTCCGCTGCTACGATGCGAAGTACATGTTGTCCCAGTGAGAAAGTAATACGGTTAAAAACCAGCGGAAGATTACCTGAAGGAGGAATTGAGGACTCAAAGTTATTCTTTTTTGCCAAACTTTACTCACAGTTTTCAAATGGTCCGTTGTCATAGGAGCAAGAGAAGCTGACTCTACCAACAGCCCCAGAGTAGGTACATCTCACTCCACCGAAAAACTCGTCCACTATCTCCTGGCAGTCCAGAACAAATGGCTCCACTGGGCCTGAGAGCAAATGAAGCAAATATTCTTCCACAGAATACTAGTGGCAATGTTGAACATTGTTGGCGAGTGGGAGCGATGATCTTCTTGTTGCTTCACTGTTTGGGTAACTAGCTACAGCCACTGTCTTGGTGTCTTACCAGGAGCAGGGATGTTGATGGTGGAGATGTCCAGCTGAGCTCCTTCGCTGCCAATGGCTGTGATATCCACTGTGTTAGTCCCATCAGTTCTCAGACCGTCTCTGATTGTGAATGTCGATCCAGTCACTGGACACACAGAGAAAGAAGACAGTGGAAGATGTACTCAAATACGAGTGGCTCTACAGTATGCAGACCTGTCAGTTCAGGTCCACCATTGACACTATATCTCAGTGAAGATATGCTCTGAGTACTGTCTGATGTATTTTCGCAGGATATCACCAGAGCTAGTCCAGAGCTCTCTCTAATGTATCTCCCACTGCACCTCACACTGAACCTCACTGGGAGTGGGGAGACTGGTAAATCAGGAGAGGGGCAATCAGGAGGACCTACCGAATTGAGAGGGTTCTATGTTGAAGGTGGTTGTAGTGATGAGGGTGTTGCTAGATGTGAACAGTCTCAGGATGACTGTGTTGGTCTGTGACTGGGACAGCTGGCTGGTGCTGATGGTGATTGGGAACCCGGACACTGTTGTAATGGAAACCAGGGCTCTCTAGTGGCCTCTGAAAGGTTCAAATGGACTACTTACCAGTGAAATTTTGGCCATTGATAATGTACTCGATCCTGGACAACTGATCAAGACCACCAGTACACCCTAGTGTCACCTGTCCATTCTCAACACTGTAGCTACACCCAACTGTCAGAGAGAGAAGAAGAAGTTAGACTAGCTACAGCCACTGTCTGGTGTCTTACCAGGAGCTGGGATGTTGATGGTGGAGATGTCCAGCTGAGCTCCTTCGCTGCCAATGGCTGTGATATCCACTGTGTTAGTCCCATCAGTTCTCAGACCGTCTCTGATTGTGAATGTCGATCCAGTCGCTGGACACACAGAGAAAGAAGACAGTGGAAGATGTACTCAAATGCGAGTGGCTCTACAGTATGCAGACCTGTCAGTTCAGGTCCACCATTGACACTATATCTCAGTGAAGATATGCTCTGAGTACTGTCTGATGTATTTTCGCAGGATATCACCAGAGCTAGTCCAGAGCTCTCTCTAATGTATCTCCCACTGCACCTCACGCTGAACCTCACTGGGAGTGGGGAGACTGGTAAATCAGGAGAGGGGCAATCAGGAGGACCTACCGAATTGAGAGGGTTCTATGTTGAAGGTGGTTGTAGTGATGAGGGTGTTGCTAGATGTGAACAGTCTCAGGATGACTGTGTTGGTCTGTGACTGGGACAGCTGGCTGGTGCTGATGGTGATTGGGAACCCGGACACTGTTGTAATGGAAACCAGGGCTCTCTAGTGGCCTCTGAAAGGTTCAAATGGACTACTTACCAGTGAAATTTTGGCCATTGATAATGTACTCGATCCTGGACAACTGATCAAGACCACCAGTACACCCTAGTGTCACCTGTCCATTCTCAACACTGTAGCTACACCCAACTGTCAGAGAGAGAAGAAGAAGTTAGACTAGCTACAGCCACTGTCTTGGTGTCTTACCAGGAGCAGGGATGTTGATGGTAGAGATGTCCAGCTGAGCTCCTTCGCTGCCAATGGCTGTGATATCCACTGTGTTAGTCCCATCAGTTCTCAGACCGTCTCTGATTGTGAATGTCGATCCAGTCGCTGGACACACAGAGAAAGAAGACAGTGGAAGATGTACTCAAATACGAGTGGCTCTACAGTATGCAGACCTGTCAGTTCAGGTCCACCATTGACACTATATCTCAGTGAAGATATGCTCTGAGTACTGTCTGATGTATTTTCGCAGGATATCACCAGAGCTAGTCCAGAGCTCTCTCTAATGTATCTCCCACTGCACCTCACACTGAACCTCACTGGGAGTGGGGAGACTGGTAAATCAGGAGAGGGGCAATCATGAGGACCTACCGAATTGAGAGGGTTCTATGTTGAAGGTGGTTGTAGTGATGAGGGTGTTGCTAGATGTGAACAGTCTCAGGATGACTGTGTTGGTCTGTGACTGGGACAGCTGGCTGGTGCTGATGGTGATTGGGAACCCAGACACTGTTGTAATGGAAACCAGGGCTCTCTAGTGGCCTCTGAAAGGTTCAAATGGACTACTTACCAGTGAAATTTTGCCCATTGATAATGTACTCGATCCTGGACAACTGATCAAGACCACCAGTACACCCTAGTGTCACCTGTCCATTCTCAACTCTGTAGCTACACCCAACTGTCAGAGAGAAAGGAAAATTAGTGGAGTATCAGAGTCTAGTTTTGTGCTCTTACTTGGAGCTTGGAATTGTTGGGTGAGCTCAACAGGTGTTCCTTGCTCACCAGTCACCTTTAAAACCACAGTATTAGTGGTTGACAGCAATTCAGCTGTTGGTATGAGCAGCGTGTACTCCACCTGTCCCACTGAAAAACAGTACATTCTCTTCCTTGCTCCGAAAAAGTCTGTTCTGTATACTAACCTTGTACCGTTACAGGAGACCTGTTGTTCAGTGTATACTCTAAGCTAGAGATTATCACTGGACTCCTACATGTAATCTGCAATCCATCCTCCACGTACGTTCCACTGCACGATACTTCGAATCTCGCTGTGATTAGTGGACCAGAGAAAACCAGTATACACTGAGCTGTTAAACGTGCTATTCTTACTGTAGGTGATTTGTTGCTCGGCCAATACAGTTCCATCCAGTCTCCTCAGAATGAGCATAATACTCTGACCACTGGACATGTCTCCCAGACTAATCCTGATGGGTGCCCCTACTCCAGTGGTACCTTAATTAATAGAACAGAGAGTTCATAGAGGACTAAAGACTGCTATGGTTATACACACCAGTGAAAACACCAACTCTTCCCTCAATGGTGTACTCAAACAGTGCCTGAATCTCAGTGTCTCCAGACAGACACCGAATGACAATCTCATTTCCTCTCACGATCCACAAAGTAAGAACAGAAAACTACACAAAGGAAACAAAATAAACAGCCTTTTGTCGTGTGTATCAATTGTAAGACAGACCAGGTCTCATGATGGTAAGTTGGGGAGTGTTACTACTGTGCCTCGACTGCCAGTAATAGTGTATCGTGATAATGTTGGTCTGTTGGTTCAGCAAAGATGCATCAACTCTGAACGTCGAGCCCACCACTAGAGTAGACAAGATGTAAAGTAGCTACCGCTAGCTTTATTGGGAACTCTCTTACCATTTGTGGCTGTCTGTTGGCCATTGACTGTGTATGTCAGCCTTTCAATGTTCTGATTGCCTCCAGTCGCATTACACATCACTTCCAGGACTGTTCCATCCTCCACAAACTTTCCACCACAACGTGCAGAGATACTCACTGTGTACGAGGGATATGCGTACGCAATTCACGAGCCAAACAAAAACTCGAACACAGGAGAAACGCGGGGACTATTTTTTAGAAAGTACTTTTTATCATTGGGTTTACCTCGAACTTGTACTGGGAGATTAATAGTGGCCTGGGTGCCTTGACTGCCAGTCAAAACCAAAGAAATATTATTGTTGTCCTGTCCTAGTTGTAGGTCGGGATCATCAATAGAAATTCTAAACTCTGGATTGCTTGGGTCAGTCACTGGATGAAAGAGAAAACTCAATAATATTATTATGATCAGATATCATTGTAGCTACTAGCATACCTTGGAGTGCTCCCTTGTCAACGCCATTGATGGCGTATGTCACTCCAGCAATTGTCTGGCTGGATTCACGCAGCACGCAGGATATCTCCACGTATTCACTGTCACTCGTGCTCCTTGCACTGCAAAAGACGTTGAAAGGAAGGCGTTGCCTTACGATGAAATTTGTGGCTGTTGCAGTCGCTCCTCCTGCTGAGGTTAGCATTATGATCACAGTGTTTATTCCAAAATTGAGATCTTCTTCGTCGATCGCTATGGGAAAGTTACTTCCACTCCCTGTCAGAGACAGCAAAACCAAGCACGTGAAACTAACATTTGGTTTGTGTCTCACGGATACCTTTAAATACTCCGTTGATGGTGTAGTTGTATGAAACAATAGTGTCACTGCCTTCAGCTTCTGTGCAAGTGATGCGATACGAGCTTCCATCACTGACATCATCACAGCTAATCCTGAACACTGCAGAGACAAGGTTCATTAACAGAATAAGTGTCCCCCACAGGCTTGGGATGGTCTGACAATTAGCCACATACACCCAACTGAGGTCACGTCAAAGCTATGATGTGGGTTGGCTGTTGTCCAATGTTTCAGCAGGCAGTTTGTTGAATGTACGCTGAAATATCGAGTTAAGAATAACTCCCTGGGCTTCAAACCATGTCTACTCACACACCTTTTGAAACTCTATAAGTCAGCCTGGGGTGTATATAGTGGGTGGCTTCAACTCACCATTCCCAGCTACCAAAGCCTATCACCTAGCTACGTCTCTTCTACTACAGCACATAGGTATACATAGCTACACAACCTGTCAGTGGTACGTTGAACGAATGACTCTCAACTCTTCCATCACCAAGTACCAGAAAAACATCCAGGTCGTTATTTCCTATGTTGAAATCCGATGTTGGGATATCCACCGGAAAATCTGCAAAAAGAAACAAAACCAACAATCTCACTCCAGTAGTTTCCCTTAAAATTGACTTACTTTGAACAAGAACCTGGTTTGGGCTGTTGTTGATGGAATAGGTAGCTGTTCCCGTAAATAACACACCGTTTTGAGAGCACGTGAGCCTCACGACAGCGCCAGTAAAAACCAAGCCACAGTTAATTGTCGCTACAGGGGAAACACATTGTCAACAATACACTCTCACACTGTAGCTATAGCTTTTCATACTGGTCTGAAAGGTTAAAGTAGCATTCAGTCGGATTTCCTGGTCGTTTACTGTGAGTAGGATGTTTATGGCGTTGGTACCGGCTGAGAATAATCTAAGTGGTATCTCAACTGGTGGCGGTGACACTGTAGGATATAGAGAGAGGGGTTCAACAAGTAAGACGGAGAAACCACATGTAGCTACAACAGACTATTGTTAGTTGTTAGGCTACACACAAACACACATTTACTCTCTTGGCCGTAATCAGCCACAACAACATATGGCCGACATTGGCACAAGTGCGGAAACTACACAATACACGTCCAAGCTGTTTCGAACAAAGGGTGGTCAAAACCTCCTACAATGGCAGGGGTAACAATTATGTAAGGAGTGCTATACCTTGCATGTCTGAGTTGGTCGAGACTTCTTCTCCAATGGCATAGTAGACCACTCCAGAATATAGTTCGTCGTTCACAGTGCATGTTAGTACCACGACACTTCTGTCTTGAGCTAGTGCAGGGACACACCGTATCTGGACTGCAGAAAAGAGTTCAAAAGATGGAGGATTTTAAAAGCTTGCACAATTAATATGAACGTTAATGCAGTACACTGCAATCAGTATCAATGTTAGAATGCAGGCATGCTGTTTGTCAAAGCGACCGTTTGTACTGAGCTGGCTCATCTCCAACAACGTCTAGCTACTGGGTATTTGTGCCAAAGCCAACTCCCGCGGGAAACTGAACCATTGGACATTCCTGCAATGAACAAACAACCCAACACAGCATTGTGTATGCTGGTGTTCTGCCTCGCTGCACTGACTACCACCAACAACCCGTCTATCAATGCAAGTGTATGGCGGTAAGCGCACTACATGTACGCGCCGCATGCAAGCGGCGATGAATTCGCACTGCACTGCACGACACTGCGATGCGCGCGAGTTCATCAACTCACATGATTGAGCATCAGTGACCAGGGAAAATAGCGCCAAAGACAGCGCTGCCGTCAATAGCTGCATCGGTCCTTTGATCAGAATCTTCAGCACAGTACAGAGAGGCGGCGAAGGATCTTCTAGTCGAAGGTCCGAGTGTTATAGTATCACCTACAACAGGTCGGACAGTAAGCCTGTAGCTGGGCATTGGTAACCTTTTATAGAACTCGACAGGAAGCCCTGGTTGTGACCTCACGCGAACTTTGTTTTCAGCCAAAAACTACATCGCTTATGACGAGTTTGGCGAACACACTCGATTTGCAGTTCCAGCGATGCCAGAATTTTCTGAGGCATGTAAATTGGAGAACATATGTTATAACCGAATTTATTTGGCGCTGCATGCTGCACATAAAGTCGTTTTGAACGCTGCTCAGCGCTGCTCATGCGCCAAATTATCCGCGCCGGCGTCCTGCGCATGCGCAAATCATTAACTCTTGCGGCCGAACTGGGCAGCATGACTCTCTTCCACTTCGCCAACTGTCTCGCTCTTACCGTCGCTCCTTACTTCATCCTCTACCGTTTCTCCGGACTGTGAGTGTTCTGTCTACGTATCCCCTGTCTCCGCTGTTGGTGCTTGGCATATTCCGTTCACCACTACCTCTTTCTCTGCTCTCTCCTCATACCTCAATATACCACAGGAATGAGGTGCCGTGGAGCAAGTGCGTCAAGTCCGCCGTCGGATATGTCGCCACCCAGCTAGTCAAGGTCTGTTGGATTGGCCAACACATGTGCAAGGACATAAAACTTGGCACTGGGCATATTAAATATTTTACTGATTTTGGAGGGTCACCTGGCGATGTTGATATTGTATTATTCTGTTGCAGATGTTACTGCTGGCCACAGCCTTCCCTGTGAGTGCAGTTCAGACTGAGAGAGATGACCTCATTCGAGTGAGTTTAAAACGACACACCTCAATTCTGTTTGTTCTTTACAGTTTTTCTGAGAATGTTTGTGCATTGTCCAGCATAATGGTGTCTGTTCACTTTGTAGCTACTGTAAGGCACTTAGCACTTTGGGATGTGTATTTCTATTCATGGTCATTGTCTATGTTACTCTACCGCCACTGTGTTGGCATGTGGCATGGCAGGTGGCTCTCACGTGCACGGTGGACGTGATAGACCTTCTGGGGATATACGTCTGTCTGACCAAGTTTAGTGCTCGCTACGAAAACAGTGCAGTCAAGACTAAAGTCCTCTCCACTGTTGTAGGTGAGGAAGAGATGGGACAAGTGCTTTTGGGGAGTAAATACTTCTGAGAGATATTCAGAAAACCGAGAAAAATATGTGGAATAGATTTTTCGAGTATTTGCCTCCTCCACTTACCAGAAGTAAACAGTAAAGTGTGTGTGGTGCAGGTTGGGGTGTGACAGAGGTGGTGGCTACAAGAGTCGTCCCTCTCTGGGTGGAGGCGAGAGGCGTCGAGTTCAGCTGGAACAGTCTCTTCACGGGACTTGACGCCAACATCTCCCTGGTAATTAGTCAGAATACTATTCTGCCAAAGTGTGACACATGCACACAAAATACAGCACTACTAATTCTCTGTCTCCAGGTGTATCTGGCGTCTACAGTGGCTCTCCTGTGGATGTGGAGCAGACCTGACTTCAACCAGACCCTCCTCCCCCTCCTCCTCTCTCTCCTCCTCTCTCTCTGCTACTCCCCTCTCTTCCTCTACCTCCTCTCCTTCTCCTTCTCCCCCACCCCCTCTCTCCTCCTCCTCACCAGACTGGGGGTGGGGCTGGTGACCGGGTTCCTCTCTCTCCTCCTCTTCCATGGCATGAGCAATGGGAAGACCAAAGTTCAATAGTCGCCCAATATCCATTGACACTATCACTTTACACCATTCATTTGTACAAAACAACAACACAAGAGTATCACAATAACTTACAAGAAAGAAGTGCATTGTATGACTGTGTATTACTATATATACGTGATTTGAAGAAAAATAAACCAATTAAGGGTAAAGAAAGTAACGGCGAGAGAGAATAGTGAACACGAGAGAAAAGATGTGCATTCAAGTCTGGCATAATTATACAGCTATTAGATGAGTTTGGAGATGAGATCGTTGACTCTCTGTTGATCCTGTTTCATTGCATCGCTGCTGCTGGCGTCCCCGAGGCTCTCTGTGTACTCACTGAGGACCATCCTCACGCCGGCCAGCGTGTCTCGGTGCTGACTCAGCAGGGTCTGGATCCGGGTCCGGATGGCTGGAATGGAACAGAGGTACAGCTCTGCCATCACGTAGTCCACCAGCTGGAGCGTGAACAGCCCTGCGTCCAGGCGATGGAGATACGCCTCAGTGTCGTCCTCCTCAGTCGCCCCCCCGTCCAGCTGCCTCTCTCTCTTTATCTCCTCGTCAGCCAGGGTCACCCGTCGTTTGTACTTGAAGTGCAGCTCCATGAGTCTGTCGACTTTCTCGCAGTCATTCTCCAGAAACTTCCCAACCAGCCGGTCCCGAGAGGCTCCCTGCACGTTCCTGAAGAGAGAGGCTATGATCGACGACATGTGCTCCTCCAACTCCTGCTCCGAACCACTCGTCCCTTTCTTTGATGATTTCGGAGGTTTCATGAAAACCGGGAACAGACTGCGCAGTCCGTACACCTCAACAAACTTGACACAGTTCTCCGTGCCCTCGGCGTTGCACATGGCGTGGTTGAGCACCTTGAGCGCCGACCGACGGGACATTTTCTTCTCTTTCAGCATCAATATCATGAGCTGGAGCCCCTCCCCCTTCAAGAAACGCTCCCGATTTGGGGTGAACATGAGGGCGGAGCACAGACAGTCAAACAGGTTCTCCATCATCTCGATCTCGTCCAGCGTCTGCGGGTCTCGCCTCTTGTAGTAGGCCAGGGCCTGGAGGAGGTTGTCGATGCCGTCTTTCTCGCCGAGAAGCCGCTGGTTCGTCTCGTTGCTCTGGAGTAAGATGGCGACAATCTCCACCACGTACAGCTTGTTGGCGTCAAACTGCCGGACTCGGAGACGGCGGAGGAGCCACGTTATGAGCCCCTGTTCGCCGGCCGCCAGACACACCTCACTGTTCTTGAACTCTGACATGTTCTCGACGATGTAGAGAATGTTGTGGACGCCGTCTGCGTCCTCTCGGACCTTCTCGTCCAGCCTGTCGAGGACCTGGACCAGCAGAGCCACTATCTGCAGCCACAGAGAGAGATAGAGAGAGAAGAACTAATACAAAGTCACATTACTGCCAAACAAAGAGTACAAGAGAGAGAAGATTGGAGGTGGGCAGAAATCTATAGTTAAAGACATTATACAACTAAATCAGCATTAGAACTGATAATACAAAACCTGCTATAATGTGAAAGCAACATCAAGTCTCCAACATAGATTTTTTTTAAACCAACATAGATTTTTTGTTAAACCTAATTGACCCCAAAGACACTGTAGTCCATCAGACCTGTTCCTTGAGCAGAGCATCGACGAGTCCCTCCACCTCCTCCTGGGTCTCACTGACAGTCTCCACGTCTGTCAGCTCCTGGAGGAGGTCAACCACTGCCAGGGCGATGTCAGAGTTGTCGTGGCTCAGCAGGCCAAGTAGAGTCTGCACCGCATTCAGCTGGAGGGCAGAGGGGCTCAGTGTACTGCTGATCACATGACTGATCACATGACTCACCTCCGAGAGGATGGGGTAAAACTCCGGGGTAGTGGCGATGACGTGGAGTGTCTGGAGTTCCTCGTTCAACTCCAGTTCACTCTCCATGAATTTCTCTGGGAGCTCTGGGAACTTGACTCTCATCTCCTGGTTCCTCAGCACCTACATTGATACCGTACAATGCCATATGTACATAATTATGATACACTGGTTCCTCAGCACTTACATACAGATATACACAAACACATTATACGTTGGCTCCCTAGTACCTGGGAAAGTACAGAGAAACAGACAAACAGAGAGACACATAGCAACTCCTTGTACGACATGTCACTGTTACTTATTGTGACTCAATCTCTTTTAACCAGTGCTCCTTTTAGCCTTGCAACGTACTGCACACACACACACACACACACACACACACACACACACACACGCAGACACACGCAGACACACCACACACACACACACACACACACACACACACACACACACACACACACACGCAGACACACGCAGACACACACACACACACACACACACTCAGACCAGGTGGGGGGTGTACATTGCTACGCACCTTCTTCTCAAAGCTGAGCAGCATTCTCTTGACTCCCCCGACGTCCAGCCCCTCTCCCTCCTCCTCCTCCTCGTCCTCGTCCACACTCTGCAGAATCCTCAGTTTCTCTTCGTCTGAAACGCTCGCCCCTGCCACCCCTCCCCCTCCTCTACGGCCCCCACCTCGGGTCTGCTTGGCATGCGGGGGTCTCATGTCAGAATCCACTGGCTCCCCGTCTGCCAGTCTCTTCAGAGACGGCTTCTCCGGATTGAAGGCCAATATCTCGTTCAGGTCCATGTTGCAGCACGAAAAACCTGTTCTATTTAGAGCACACCATACACAGAATTCTTTTATCGATAGTATATAATACCTGGGGAGCTACCTCATACCTTGCTCAGACAATGGCTGTAAGTGGAAGAGAAACTATGGAGCCTGCTCCAACAAAGACTAGAGACGTCGGGAATGGCGGCGCGTTTTGGAAATTTGACCTTTCACCTACAGCTCACGTGCAGACTCTGTTGGGTTTCTTCTAGTAGATGGATCCGACGGCAGAAAGTGGAGAAGGGGAGCTAGTAAACCTCTCATACGGCAGCGAAGAGTTTCAGGTGCCCAAAGAACTGCTGGAAGATGTGAGGAAAGGACTAGGTGCGCACTAATTGGAGTTAGAGAGGATCGTGTGTGCAGGAGGACCTGTTTCAGACTGTGGTGTCGGAGGAGACGTGGAGAGAGGCGCTGGGAGAGGAGGACAGGGAGAGACTGAGGCAGCTGCTTCCTCCTGGACCTCCACAGCAGCAGCAGGAAGACCTCTCGTGAGCCACCGACCAACATTCCACCAGTCAATCTCTTCTTTCGGTGGACCGTAGGCGAGTGTTGGGAGGAGAGGATGTAAGGTTTGGTAACCCTGTCAGCCACACCTTGGACAAGATTAACAGTGAGAGCAGTGTTTTTATCTCAGGTCACATTCTACCATTGCCCCCTCCTCTTTCTCTCTGTCTGTCTGTCTGTCTGTCTGTCTCTCAGGTGGTGTGTTCTGTCCAGAGCTGCGGGAGGCGTGCGAGGAGTACCGGGAACTTCGCTACCAGCAGTACCAGGTGTGGAGAACCTCAATAGCACATAGACCATCATCTTCTCCATTTCACCACTCACTCCACAGAACAACCAGAGGAGGTACTACATGAAACTGCTGCAGGACATCCTCATTGCACGTCAGGTGGGTCTTAACAATCACGAACCCTCTTCAATAAAGGACTAATTCTTGATTCTGTATGTTTGTGATGCATGATATTGCACTGTAGGAGGTGATGCAGAAGGCGTTGCTGACAGGATCACTGGACGGCCTCCCTTCACAGTATGGTTATGTGTGTGTGTGTGATTGTATAGCTGAGAGTAATGGGTTTACAAGGGCTGAAAACTACATTGACACTTGTTGACCGCCTGCTAATAATCCTGCCATTAAGGCAACCCCCCACACGGTGTCTTTGCTCTCAATCCTATGTACATTCGCATGTTATAATCTCACTGTAATTGTGCTGTTCTGGGTGACTGTCCCACAGGGTGAGTGTAGGGAGGAGGAGGAGGAAGAGATCTCTGTTACTGCGAAGAGCAGACACCAAGTTCAGGAGGTGAGTCAACCTTCTGACTGATGATGTAATGTGGTGGGTGTGGCCACCAGGATAATGAGGGAGTGTCGTGAGGAATGGGGGGAGGGGGGTGAGGTGATGTCATCAGATGAAGACACACTGACCAATCAGATTCCTGACGAGGAGGAGCCCCCTTTCATCAGTGAAGAAGACTATCGCAAGATGCTGCGGGTACATCGGGAGTCACAAATGAGGAAGAGAGTAAGCCACACCCCCTGCCATGCCCACTCATCATCTGACCTGGTGTTGTGTGTGTTCAGATGGAGCAGGACCTGGCGGCCAGAGAGATTGGTCGGTTGAGAGAGAGGAGGCAGGAGAGGCCTGCCCCTGGTGGGTGGAGATAGTCAGTCTGCATGCATTGAGGATGCCAGTACCATATTCAGTATTCTTTGTCCTGCATGCACATGCACACACACACACTTCACTATATATATTACCGTGGAGGAAGGCCATCCAGTCAGTATAATGCCTTCTGCATCACCTCCTACAGTTCTCACACTATTCCTTATACTGCAGTCAAAACAGAGGTGGTGAGTGGGACTGGAAGTGTGGCAGGGGGAGGAGGGAGGAGAGGTTTGAAGGATAGAGCATCTCCGGCTGATTTCTCCCACCCACCACCGTTAGTGGCATCAGGAGGAGGGGGAGAGGGGAAGAGAGGGAGGAGGGGGAGGAGGGGGGACAGGGTGGTGGAGAAAGGAGTGGGACCACGCGTCAGTGCAGAGTCCAAGGCTGTGGAGGAGGCATATGGACCGGTGGACGACGGCACACGAACAGAACCTCCTCTCTTACCTGTCGTGTGAGCTTTTTACTTGCAGTAGGTCATACAAGTGGGTGTGCAAATCCTAAAGCAAGAGTTTTTAGTGTCCAGTTGTACAAACCTTAGGGTCCCTAGCCAGAAATGTTAGATGGGATGGTTGGGCGCTATGTACAGGCCACATGTGTGTGTGTACTGGTGGAAAAAGAGCAGTGTCACTAGCCCTAGGGTTGTGTGTATTGATGCTACATGCACACTCTGCAGTCTGACGGCTCCCTTGGCAGAGTGCAAGTTCCCGAGTTTCTTCTCTCTTCTAAAACACGCCTTTGACACCCTCCACGACAGGAAGGGAGAGATCAGCAAGGTGGGGGCGTGGCTGGAGTAGCTGTGGTGTTTGTTAGGAGAATGTCTCCCGTGGTTGATAGCGAGTGCGGTTTTTGTTCTCTTTCTGCAGATTACAAAGAGTGTCAAGATTGTCATGGTATGGAGCTAGTGTGTATTTCACTGTACCCATCTCTCTGTCATGGTATGAGCCAGTGTTGTTTCACTGTACCCATCTCTCTGTCATGGTATGGAGCCAGTGTGTGTTTCACTGTACCCATCTCTCTGTCATGGTATGGAGCCAGTGTGTGTTTCACTGTACCCATCTCTCTGTCATGGTATGCGACTAGTGTGTATTTCACTGTACCCATCTCTCTCATTTCACTGTACCCATCTCTCTCATTTCACTGTACCCATCTCTCTCATTTCACTGTACCCATCTCTCTCATTTCACTGTACCCATCCTTATCTATCGCTCTTCTCCCTCTCTCATTTCGCTGTCCACATCCTTGTCTATCGCACTCTTCAATTCCACTGTCCTCAGGCAACATTAACACCCTCTCCCCCTGCCCCAGAACTCTCCCGAGGTGGAGGGTAGTCCGTGGTTGGAGAGACAGACAGACTGGCTGGACCTGGTCCTCCCGGCCATCATGTACCTCTCTGCCGAGGTCGGAGGTGTCTCCTCCTTTGACCCTCTCCCCTTCTTCTACCCCATCATTGAGTTCAGGGACAGAATCGACCACTGGAGATGGATGGGTCTGCATCCCTCTCTCCTCCACTATCTGTCTTGTACGTCTGTGTCCTGCAGGTCACGACAGAGACAGTGAACTGGAGTTGCTGGTTCTCTTCAACCACTGGCTGGACACCCTCGACAGATCTCTGGTCTGTCTCACCTCCCACTCTTCATCATTCCCCCCTCCCTCTGTCTCCAGGAAATAGTGGACTATTCCGACTACGAACCACCAACTCCTATCAACATGTAAGACCAAACTTGTACTAATTCTAACATTATGGTAGGAAATGTCTATGAGAAAGCTTAAGTGTTTATAAGACGAAAGTTTTAGCGACTGTTTAGGTTTGCAAAGAAGTCTTTTCTGAATGACATCTTGTTAGTGGGTAAAACTGACCCCGCAATCTGCCATACACTATTTGCCCACATTTCCCCCAAATTTCACGTCGACTATGATGTCTGTTCTCCACTACACGTCACGCAGGTGGGCCAACTTTGTCTTCAGACCCAGCACCTCAGACGAGGTGGCCAGCTTCAGAGAGCAGGTGATTCCTCATTACATCATCGGCATCCCCTGAACCACACCCACTGTGTGTGCAGGAGTCATTCCGGTACTCCCAGCCGTTCAAGTCTTACATCTATAACATCCATGGCTTTGAGGCTGCAGTTGGTCCTGTCAAGGTATTTACATATGTCTCCTCTCCAGCTTCACGTCTCTCTCCCCCCCCTCTCTCTCTCTCCCACCCTCCCTATTAATGGCAGGGAGCCAAGGCGTACAAGAAGGACACTGGGAGTCGGGCTCGCGGACACGCTCTCCTCATCCCCGATCGTCCCAACTGTGTGACTATCCTCTCACTCGGTCAGTCTGTAACCTGTACACATCTTTCTATTGCTCAGTACTAGATACACTGTTGCCATCTCTGTTGTCATTGTGTGCAGTTCGAGACGCTGCCTCCAGACTGCCCAATGGAGAGGGAACTAGAGTTGATGTCAGTCTAACCTCTTCTATACATACTTTCTGTCTGCCTGACAAACTATATCTCTCTCTCTCTCTCTCTCCTCTCCTGCAGCTGTGTGTGGTGGTCAGAGACTCTCAGTTCATCCATGAACACGTCTCAGATGTCCAGGTACAACATGTGATATGCTATCAATCTGGTTGAAGAGCAGCGAGATACTGTTCTGTCATGTTTTTGAGGCCCATGTGGAGTTGCTGGCAAAACACCAAGTGTGGCCAAATCTCATTTTCACCAAGTCTCTGAAATGTCATTCTTCTACTTAAAATGTTAGTGGGTCATCCACAAAAATTTAGCTGCTTTTCTCTTTGCTGGTTTTAGTTGAACAATGCAGTGAGTGGAGCTCTGGACCGACTGCACTATGAGAAGGATCCTTGCGTCCGCTACGACAGCACCAGGAAGGTCTGGATATACCTCCATCGCGGCCGCAGCGAGGAGGACTTTGGTGAGCCATGCCTACTGCTCTCCCTCACTCCTGCCACAGTGGTTGACTGTCTCTCCTTATGGCTGTACAAATGCTTGTTTTATTCCCGTGCAGAGAGGATCCAGTGGGCCTGTGACATGGCTGCCAAACAGAGGAAGATGATAACGACAAGACCAAGAGTCAAACCTGTGAGCAATCTCCCCCTTCTTCCTCTCTCCTCTCTCTCCCTCTTTCTCTCTCCTTTCTCTCCCCCTTCTTCCTCTCTCCTTTCTCTCTCCTTCCTCTCTCCTTTCTCCCCCTTCTTCCTCTCTCCTCTCTCTCCCTCTTTCTCTCTCCTTTCTCTCCCCCTTCTTCCTCTCTCCTTTCTCTCTCCTTCCTCTCTCCTTTCTCCCCCTTCTCCCTCTCTCCTTTCTCTCCCCCTTCTTCCTCTCTCCTTTCTCTCTCCTTCCTCTCTCCTTTTTCTCCCTCTTTCTCTCTTCTTCCTCTCTCCTTTCTCTCCCTCTTTCTCTCTTCTTTCTCTCTCCTTTCTCTCCCCCTTCTTCCTCTCTCCTTTCTCTCCCTCTTTCTCTCTTCTTTCTCTCTTCTTTCTCTCTCCTCTCTCTCCCCCTTCTTCCTCTCTCCTTTCTCTCCCTCTTTCTCTGTACATAGTACACTGGCAAGCAACCATGTACACCAGTGCATAGACATGTAACTTTGCCAAGAAAGACATTAGCACAATTACAACTTGTGTCGTTGGTGTAAATCATGGGGTGTAAATACCAGGCAAGTGCATTTTCAACGAAACCATGGAAAAACCACATACACCTATATAGAGCTGCAATGGATAGGACTTTAACCCACGACACTAATTGAGTTGACTCTGTAATTTCTGGCAATCACAGAAGATTCTACTGAGAGAACCAGGAGGAGGAGGGGAGGTGGTGCTGATGGAGGGTGGGCCGCAGACCGCACCCCCCACCACTGCCCCATCGGGCAACGGGGCAGGGGGTGTGGGGACAGGAGGGAAGGCGGAGGGAGGGAGAGGAGGAAAGAAGGGGAAGTCAGGTGGCAGAAGTGGCGGGAAGAACGCAGCAAATCAATCTGGTTGGTATATACCAAATTACTCACTTTGTGTATAGTTAGTGTGTATTGCAGGTGGAGGTTCAGTGGTTGTGGTTAGTGTGTTAGGAGAGAGAGAGGGTGTGTCCCCAGCCAGCAGCACCTCTGTCTCCAAACCCCACAAGACACACTCCAAGAACAAGAAGAAGAAATCAGGTGTCTCACCCTCTCACACAGGACTCCAGTGACTGTCTCTATCTCCCACAGTATCAGTGGTCCCCGTGTTGTCTGCGGTCCCTCCCCCCTCCTCTCTCCAACCTCCACCACTGACAGCTGCTGACCACGACTGGGAGGACTCCAGTGACACTCCTGACCTCCCTTTCCTCTCCTCCCTCCAGCCTGTCGGTCAGTCTTCTTCTCCCCTTCCTGTCCTCCATTCAGCCTGATTGTGATATCCCTCTCACTCCGCCCAGAGTTTTGTTTT